TGAAGTGTCCTTTGAGAAGCGAGTTTGGCTTTTGCCCGATGTACACCCCAACGCGCTGATGTTGCGGCCCTGCAGAATCACTGCAGCACTCACGCAATTCCTTGGCCATCCCCGGGCCCACCTTAGCCAATGCGTCCTCGAGCACCTCGTCCTCCCGCTCTAGCCTAACACGACTGCGGGTTTACCACCCGCATTGCGTGGTGGCTTGGCGCCATTACTCCAACCTGGCCCTCCGGGGCCTCCCACAGCTGGGATGTTGGGACGCGGCCAACGACCTCGTAATGCAGCGCCTCCGGGGCTGCCATGTTGTTTCCTTACGGCGGCCATGTGCCTCTTGGATGGCCTTCTCCCGGACGCCCCGGTTCGCCTGAGGCTGCTCTTTCAGGCCAGTGGCTGCTGCCGGATACCGGGCTCCCGCTCCCGCGTTGGCTAGCTGCGTCTCCCGGGCCTAATCCTCAGCCCAAGCGTCTGACTGCTGCCGTTTATCCTCCCGTTCTCCCTGGCTTCCGCACCCCAGGGGTGGCTTCCATGCCTTCTAATCTGTGACTCAGGAAACCGCGCCACCATTCGCTTCTCTTCTTCCACCTGGTCCTCTTAGCCCTGGCTTGGGCTGTCAGGACGAGCTTCCGACCCTTGGTACCCGTTGCCCCGATGCCGCCCTCACCGACGTGCCTCCACAACTGCACCTCATCCATTGCTGCTGTCCGAGTTATCTCCCCTTTCTGGCTCCAAGTCCTCCTCGTCCACTTCTGGCCCCATGCACTCCGTCTGGGTGCTCCGCTACACGAGAACAATCCCACTGGGGTTGGTCCTCCGGGCGGACACAACACAACCTACCAGCCCAAAGCAACCCAGCCTGGGTACTTCGCCGCGCGAGAGCGTAACCCCTGGGGTTGGCCTTCCGGATACATGCGACCCATCCTCCTGGCCCAAGGCAACTCAGCCTGGGTGCTTCGCCGCGCGAGAGCACACCCCCTGGGGCTGGCCTACCGGATAAACACGACGCAACCTAGCGACTCAATGCAGCTCCGCCTGGGTGCTTCGCTGTCCGAGAGCAAAACCTTGCGGGTGCGGGCCTTGCGGATAAACGCAACACAAACTACCGGACCAAAGCAACTCAACCTGGGTGCTTCGCTGCGCAAGAGCACACCCCCTGGGGCTGGCCTACCGGATAAACGCAACGCAACCTACCGGCCCAAGGCAGCTCCGCCTGGGTGCTCCGCTGTCCGAGAGCAAAACCTTGCGGGTGCGGGCCTTGCGGATAAACGCAACGCAACCTACCAGCCCAAAGCAACCCAGCCTGGGTACTTCGCCGCGCGAGAGCAAACCCCTGGGGTTGGCCTTCCGGATAAACGCCACGCATCCTCCAACCCAAAGCAACTCAGCCTGGGTGCTTCGCCGCGCGAGAGCAAAACCCCCGGGGCTGGCCTACCGGATAAACGCCACGCAACCTACCAACCCAAAGCAGCTCCGCCTGGGTGCTTCGCTGTCCGAGAGCAAAACCTTGCGGGTGCGGGCCTTGCGGATAAACGCCACGCAACCTACCAACCCAAAGCAGCTCCGCCTGGGTGCTTCGCTGTCCGAGAGCAAAACCTTGCGGGTGCTGGCCTTGCGGATAAACGCCACGCAACCTACCGGCCCAAAGCAGCTCCGCCTGGGTGCTTCGCTGTCCGAGAGCATACCTGCGGGTGCTGGCCTTGCGGATAAACGCAACCCAACCTACCGGCCTAAGGCAACTCAGCCTGGGTGCTTCGCCGTCGCGAGAGCAAAACCTGCGGGGCTGGCCTTCCGGACAAACGCGACCCAGCCTACCGGCCTAAGGCAACTCAGCCTGGGTGCTTCGCCGTCCGAGAGCAAAACCTGCGGGGCTGGCCTTCCGGATAAACGCGACCCAGCCTACCGGCCTAAGGCAACTCAGCCTGGGTGCTTCGCCGTCCGAGAGCAAAACCTGCGGGGCTGGCCTTCCGGACAAACGCGACCCAGTCTACCGGCCTAAGGCAACTCAGCCTGGGTGCTTCGCCGTGCGAGAGCATACCCGCGGGGCTGGCCTTCCGGACAAACGCGACCCAGTCTACCGGCCTAAGGCAACTCAGCCTGGGTGCTTCGCCGCGCGAGAGCATACCCGCAGGGGCTGGCCTTCCGGACAAACGCGACCCAGTCTACCGGCCTAAGGCAACTCAGCCTGGGTGCTTCGCCGCGCGAGAGCATACCCGCAGGGGCTGGCCTTCCGGACAAACGCGACCCAGTCTACCGGCCTAAGGCAACTCAGCCTGGGTGCTTCGCCGCGCGAGAGCATACCCGCAGGGGCTGGCCTTCCGGACAAACGCGACCCAGTCTACCGGCCTAAGGCAACTCAGCCTGGGTGCTTCGCCGCGCGAGAGCATACCCGCAGGGGCTGGCCTTCCGGACAAACGCGACCCAGTCTACCGGCCTAAGGCAACTCAGCCTGGGTGCTTCGCCGCGCGAGAGCATACCCGCAGGGGCTGGCCTTCCGGACAAACGCGACCCAGTCTACCGGCCTAAGGCAACTCAGCCTGGGTGCTTCGCCGCGCGAGAGCATACCCGCAGGGGCTGGCCTTCCGGACAAACGCGACCCAGTCTACCGGCCCAAGGCAACTCAGCCTGGGTGCTTCGCCGCGCGAGAGCATACCCCCTGGGGCTGGCCTTCCGGATAAACTCTTCCTATGCTACTGGCCTAAGGCAACCCAGTCCTGGTGCTGGCCTTCCAGCTAAACGCATCTAAGCCTTCGGCCCAAGGCCACTCAGCCTGGGTACTTCACCGCGCACCCCCTGGGGCTGGCCTTTCGGATCAGCACAACGCAACGCTGGCGTTTCTCTCCCTGAGAGCATCACCCGGGTAAAGCCTACCGGCCGTGGGTACTCGTTATTGCGCAGGCTTCTTGAGTCTAGTTGCTACCCTTTGCGGGCGTAGCTCCCCGATGAGCGCAAAGCGGTCCGGGCGCTTCGGTGGGCTCCAGCTGGGCACCTGGCAGTAACCCGTGGTGATAATAAACCACGTTGAGCTCAACCTCAAAGCAGTGACCTCTCCGCCGCGGCGCCGTCCCCTCCTAGCCGGATCACACCATTCCCCAGCAAAATATGCGTAGCTGCCAAGCCTTTGCGGCCGGTTCCGGGACACCCCTTTCCCTCTTACACGCAACCGGGTAGGCCTAGTTGCAGCTGGCTGCGCCTGCTTTCAGACAACGCGGGATAAGGAGCGCAGTCCGGTGATAATCACAACATCCCCTTCTGGGTGTTTCCGTCGCGTGCCATTCTTATCGCCTTCGTCATAGCCATTACTTCGTTCTCCTCCGGACCTTCTCCGACTCCGCCGCGCACTTCATCCCGCTCAGCCATCTCTTCGCTGTTACTGACGCCCGATGTGCCAGTAACGCTGTGTTCTCTGATTTCCTTCCTTATTAAACTGGGTCCATATGTATTGTATATTGTTATTTTTGACGTCCCTATTCCCCAACAAACGACGTTCTGACTTGCACTTGCTTGCACGGTTGACTGGCGAACTTGCGTTGTCTGGATTTAGCGCTTTGTTCTCAGCTAATCTTTGTAACGAACTACAGTATCAGTCCCTGTCCTCTGGCCAGTTCTGGTCTGCGCCTTCCTGCGCCGCACTTGCCGTACTGCACTACATGACGAGCACTTAATCAACATGCAATCCTATATACGTTAATGATGATACGATATAAAGGCTGGTATCAGTCAGCGTGAGTTTGTAAGCCGCGCGACGCAGATGGGAAATTGTTCTTCAGTACAGAAACTCGCTGCACAGTACGTTGACATACCCTCCTTCCTGCCCCCTTCTCGCCCACTCTCCTGCCGTCCCGCCCTCCCCATCTTGCGCTGTCGCTCAGGCTGCGCCTGCCTTCTGGGGTGAGCTCCAGGAGGACGGCCTAAAGAGCCGTTGAAAAGGACTTACTAGTTGCGTGTTCTTGCGCTCTGCTGGCCGCTCTCTCCAATCGCTTCGCTGCGCCACTTTTTCAAGGGGGCGCTGGTAATCGAAGCAGTGCCAGCTTGGCTCTGCAGATTTAGGTTTCAAGAAAATTTCTCAACGGGCAACACGGGTAAATGTGTTAGTGGAAGCCAACGGACCTTTTACATAAAGCCGCTATAAGTCTGAATTGTCTCACCAGACGATCCAGGTATCTGATGGCACCTTGGAATGTTTCCTGAGATTTTGGCTTGGGAGGACGAATATAACTTTGTCACGGAGCCTTCGAACGAGGAGCTACAGCTCCACATTCGCAACAGCTAGCCAGGCCGGTGTAAGGGTTGTCACAGACGCAATAATAGTTTTATTAGAAAATTTTGCGAGGGCTTTGCTAGGGCAACTGAGAATTATGCGTTTTCCAGGCGCCATGCGAGCTGACCGCAAGCAAATGGTCTTAAATTGCGCACACACACGAGCAGGGTTATACTTCGTAGCCTAAAAGTTTAGGTGGAGATTTGACACGTATACCTGTCCTTAGCAGCCCGAATCCTCTTATTCACCCAACCCGTCTTCGCGCCAGACCAACAGTAGCTCGGCAAGAAGCGTCCGATCTCATATTTAAAGGCTGAAACACAAGCGTGATTATGGAAATTGAAAACATGTTTCGTAAGATGTAATGAGGCCCTTGTTAAGCAGGTTCCTTACCCAATATCCTCAGGGTTATAAAGCAGCACTGAGAAATAGATAATATACATTTACCAGATGTAACTGACGTGCAATTTATGCGTCCCCCCGAGGATATAGAGCTTACCTTTCGACGGGCATCAGTACGGCGCTTTCCTTACGCAGCATTAAATCCATCTTCAGGAGCTATGATGAAGTGAATAATTGCACGACGACGACGGCAATGATAATCTGTTCGTCTACTTTTGTACTGAGCAGCACTCTTCAGTTACTATTATCTGCTTGCAGTTACGTGTTAGAGCTTGCGGTTGTATAGAGCAGTGGTTTCGCCGCATGTAAAGGCAATATGCAAGCATAGTTGTGTTCTTACGTTACAAGGTCAGCTTTCAACGATATCATTTACAACGGAGATGTCTCTACGCAAGGGCGCCCTGACTGTCACTGTGGAGGGGTATGCGCGTAGCACAGCGAGCAATGCTGCGTAAGTAGTTAATATACAACTAATGGAGGGATGATTTGCCGATGAAGCTCCATGTCTAGTCGCCGTGCAAACTCTGACAGCCACATTTCCTTCCAATGGAGATGTCTGAAGGAAAGATCCGTATAAACTCTAAACTCTTTACTTTCTGTGATTACAGGGCTGATGCACTCTTTACTTTGCACATTGGAGCCCGTTCGTTCGCCTTGCATGAAGGAGCATCTCAGAGCTTTAAACGTTTTTGCACCAAGATCCCTGAACTCTGTCTAGCAGAGGACGACACAGCTACGGTGGTTATAGTGGTAAGCAGGGCTACCTTAGGGTTTTAGGCTTCTGCGTGGCGCTCATCTAGCTAACTATCTCATCTTGGCCGTCCTTCGGGGCCTCAGCAAAACGTCCGAGATGCACAGCAACTAAAGGGATCACTATTGCTGGTCAAAACTATTCCTGGGAACGTGCGCGGCAAATTTTGCACAATCCATGTTCAATTCCGACCATGCATCAGGCAACAAATTCCATACGGATTCGTGTATTTTTACGCGCCCTTTCCTGCTAAACGCGTAGGATAACGATGTCGCCGACTCCGAAGTTGAGGATGCGGACAACCACGGCTGCGCTACGTTTTCCCTTGCGAGAACATGCGCAAAGGGCATTGACAGCCTTGAAATTCCCGTAATTAGCACAAAGAGTCGTAAGAAGTTAGGGGATGTGTTGCTGTCCCTCACCTGGTTGGCCGTGGCGCCCACGAGTACATCTGTCGCCGCGGAAGCTGTTACCGCAAATTCCTCTCGCTACCGTTTTTCTTCCTCCTCTCCTTCATCTCCTTCCGCCGTGGATACCTCCGTCGCTGTCGGCATGACCACCGCAGCATGCGCCGATAACGGTGGAACTTCCACCAGCACTTCCCGCTCCTCCCAACCCGACAATATTAGCCCGCCTCGGCTTTTCGTGCCGTTCACAAAGGAAGCCGAAGCTCTGCCAGAAATAATAGCAAGTGATCAAAAAGAAAATGATGTTTCATGCCATGACCGGATCGCGGAGCTCCAATCCGAGGAGCCGAGAGTTGCAACGGCGCCAGCCGCGTTTGGCTCGCCTTTCGCGTTTGCAGCACTGGAGGCCGAAGCCGCGGGGCCCCAGCCATTTGCAACGTCAGCGCCGGACGCCGCCAACGCCGGCTTTGGCTCGCCTCTCGGATCTGTAGGGCTTGAGGTGCCGGCCACCTACCCGGCGGCTTCTGTAACGCCATCAGCGACAGCGACTGAGCCGACGTCGTCAGCTGCTGTGATGGCAGCTATGGCGGCACTTGCGGCGATGGTGGCGGCGGCGGCTGAGCTCCCGGCCAACTACACTTCCTCCGCAGCTGCCTGCAAGGGGTCGTCTTTGCAAGCAGGGACATCAGTGTCTTTTTATCCTCGCATCCAGCCGTACGACGCGGCGCCTCCCCTGGAGTTCGGCCCCGGTGTTTTGCCCACGAGCACCGGAACCAAGGCATTCTATCCAGACATTGCCGTACGGATGCAGATTTCCGATTTATCAATGCGAATGCACGAGCTACGCCCAACGCTGAGTGCGCCGTTGCGCTTCGGAGCCGCATGATGATGTGCGACAAACGCAAGGTGTATGGCTGCGGCGTAAGCCTATGGGCGGGGTGGATTTAGTTTGCGGCTCGTGGGCCTTACTTTTTTACGCTCTCCCGTCCCTGGGGGGTGTTATATCCACCTTTTTGAAGAGGCCTACGGCTTGGTGCTTATCTCATTCCATCTTTAGGATACCATGTGTGCTAACTTGCGTAGGTGTATGTGCTGCGTAAGGCGTTCGTCGTGTTGGTGATGGTATTATGATGTTAATGCGTGAACGCATTTTATATTCGAGTATTTTCGTGTTGAAATTGATTGTGTCCCGGGGTGCCGTACAGCCTCCAAACTCAAGTGTTGTTGCGAGCTGTCCCACGATCTTAATCAGGCTACGGTTTTATTTGCGAGCGTCATGTGGAGCGATTTAGTCTATCGAGCTTCTCGACCTTAAGCTCTGAAAGGGATTGCTGAGATTTTGCGGCGAAGGGCATATAGCAGAAGTGCACACGTTGCTATCCCGATTACAGTGATCTTTCTCTGCGCGAAGGCAAGCGTGCACTCCTTTTAGAGATAAAAAGCGGAATCATAAGGTGTTTGAAAACCTTTTTCATAACCGTATGATTCCACTACTGGCGGATGGGAAGAGGCGGAGAGGCAAGCACAAGGCGCGCTCTTATTGCTGAACTCAGGATGCCGGATACCCATTGCTACATCGCGTGTCTGCTAGAGTCCAGGATGTGTTTGCATTTGTGTGTGTGTTTGTGTGTATTAAGGGTATTAATGAGCCATGCAATATCGTGCATTGGGTCTCTTGATGTACGGGATGGGGCCTGGGTCCAACGTTTTTGTTGTACGGCGCGCCGCCACGTAGTATGTACCTGGATGCCTGCTATCGTTCTAACATTAGCACTAAAGTGGATTCGGATTCTTTTAGTGTGGTCGGTGTGAATGAAGACCTGTTCATAGTTTAGGAGCTCTGCAGGTCGGCTGCTGCTGCACGTAAGGATGCCGCCGTACAGCGGTAATGCAGGTTTTACAGCGGTAATGCAGGTTTCATAGGCAGACACATACTTACGCTTGGTGGTGGTGGAGAACGGCAGAATGCTCCTGTGATATCGCCGGTATCGCTGTTAGAATAATATGTCTAATGCAACGCAGCCAAAAGGCTGCGACAGCACACAGGATGTGCTTTGGCATATTTGGAAATGAGTTGGCGAGCGATTTGATGGTCGGCAGGATAGGCAGGGCGGTAGGGCTCACGTGCGCCGTGCGAGGAGCAGAGGTCTTCCCCTGGTGACGCACGACATGCAAAGAAAAAGGCTGCGAAATACCTTAAAAGAGCGCGCGGCCCCCAGATAACCCCCTAAGGAAGGATCGGTGCTAGAGGCCATCTGGGCATAGCTATATGATCCCGATGATCGACTGTCATGCTTGCAACGTCAATATGCGCGTCGTGAAGGCCATGACGATTTTGACAGTGGAGTGGCAACTGCAGATCCTGGGCGGATCTGGATTCAGAGTCAGGGACTCTACGTGCGTTGGGAGGGAGCCAGACGTTACAGCCGCTGGGCCACGTCATGCCGCCGCTGGACGCTGCATTTTGGGCCTGTGTTGACCTCGGTGCGACGTACTCGCACCGTGGCAGATGACTTTAAGCTGGCAATAGCTCTAGGACGCTCATTTGGCAGATCTTCCACGCGCTGTTTGCGCTAATTTAGGTCTAGAAATAGTACACCAAGATGATGCGGGTTTCCCCGGGATCGAATTACGCGTTGGGATAGCACTGGTGGGTGATCACTGCATAGGGGTCGTAGTATGTAATTTCGAGCAGGGTGCTGTTGTTAAATTGCAGCTGTTGCTTTTTGCACGCTGATGTGTAGAGATCTTGCAGATTGTACCAGGTCGCTGCAATTATCGGGAACTGGTGGTGAGTTGGCGTGGGGTTCATGTGGTGGGAGATTATGTGTGTGTGTGTGTGTATATAGGCTGTAAAGGGGGGAAAAGCCGTCCGTCACTGGTATGTGGGCGCCAATTCGTTGGAACAATGAGGAAGGTCGTCGCCTCTAATGGTCTACTAAGCGGGCGAGTTGAGCTCAGATTTAGTCCGCGTTTCAGAAGTTGCCGGTTTGTGTCTAGGTGCTTTGAGATAAGAAGCCTGGCTGGAAGTAGCACTTTAGTCCACATTTGTGGTAGAGCAGGTTCGAGACAAGTCCTCGCGTGTTTGTTCCCCGACTGTAAGAAGGCTGCGGCTAGGGCTGGGGCTCCGGCCAGGGCGGCGCTTGCTCAGAGGTGATAAAAGCCGTTGTACACTCCTACCGGCAGGTTTCAACGATCACAGTCACGATCTCAGGCGTGCTTTTGTAAGGTATGGCGTATCCTGGTAAGGCAGGTTGTTGCGCAGTTGGCTTCCTGTACTGATTGCCCCCTTTCGAGTGCACAACGCTCAATGCAAAAAAGCTGAGTTCTTACATAGGACATGGTGTTGAAGCCACGTAAAATTTGACAACAGTCTGCGACCGGCTGTTCCGTTGCTCTTACTCTATCGCTTCGGAGCTCGTTGGGATCATCAGGCAAACACTCAGCAGTAGGGATTGCCTCCATTAAACAAATTGGCAATGGTACATTGTTCTAGTTGAACTTGACAGCTCGCCTCCATGCCGGCACGAAAGTCACGGACCCATTGTCTGTTGATGACAGCAGAGTAACAGCGGAAATCACATAGTATTTAAGGAAAGCAATCTCGGTGCATTTCATTCTACTCGGTAACGACTAACGAGTAAAGCTTTCCGTACGCATATGATGTAGACTATAGAGCTAGGTCAGCTCCATCCAAACTCAGCCGGGATCACTGTTATGTTGTGAAAAATCCATTTAATGCTTGCCCCACGCCTTTCCAACATGAGCGACCTTAGCATTTCACAAGCAATAATGGAGCTCCTTGTTACATATCCCTATGGCAAAGACTGTTAGAACTTATTGCATCAATTGATCTCTTGTATCTCTGTTATTGTCGACTCCGGCCAGAGCTCCCGACCCAGAGGACCGCAGCTGTTGCTTTGTGGCCTTGCAAGGCGAGGCCCTCGGATCTTAATTGAAGCCTTATGAAGCAACTAATAGGATCTATCTATTAGAATCTTGAGCCGATGAGATGGCGTCTTTGCCGCAAAGTCCCACAGGCAACATGAGGGCATACGCGAAACCGTCCTCTTCAGCAAGGCTTTATCATCTCAACGGCATATTTCCAGTGCATGAGGATTACAAATTGCTGCAGTAGCAGCAGCAGCAGTGACAGGGGCGGCCAAGCCTGCTGGGTCTTACAGCCCGTGCCATGAAGGAGAAAAACTCAGCAGTTAGCATAGGAAGAAATACCGAAGCCCACGACTACCAGGGTGGGAGCGCCCTCCCATGTCCCCACAGCAGCCCAGCCCGCAGCCCGCTGCGACAGCGGAAACGGATTGTCGACCCATCTCCGAAACCACGCACGAAGCGCCGAAACCACGGTCCGGCCGACGGTTCAAAGCTGCCGAACTCCAAGGAGGCCGCCAATGGGCAAATAAAATCCCAAATCGGTTCCGGAGCTGCGGTTGGGTCACTCAATAAAACAGTTGGCGACAGCAGCGCAGGCGCGGGTGATCTCAAGGCTAGCGTTACAGTCGACCACCCAGTCAGCTGCAATCAAATAAAGCCGGGCAAAAGGGCCAGGAACGCTTCGGGCAATGAGGTTTTAGCTGCTGACGGCGGCGCTTGTGGTGGCTGCGACGGCGGCGCCTGTGGTGGCGGCGGCGCTTGTGGCGGCGACGGCGTTTGCGGACCTAGCTCCAGCGCTCGTGCAAACGCCGGGGGCGGCCAGAAAGCTGGCGGCGGCGGAGGAGGAGGAGGAGGGGGGGGCGGGGGCGGGCTTCCCGCCGGCCGTGGAGGCCGAGGCAAAGAGGCTACTCTTGGCGCTCGCGGCGGCGATGGCGGCAGCGGCTGCCGGAGCGCTGTTGCTCACCGGGAAGATGGCCACATCGAAGCGGATGAAAGCGGCCTAACCGCTGATGACGGCGACGGCGGCGACGACGACGATAGGAGTGACACCGACAGCGTCGGCGGCGGGGGCTGTGGTGGCGACGACGGCGGCGGCGGCGGGGGCTGTGGTGGCGACGGCGGCGGCGGCGGTGATGGCGGCAAGCGGGCCGGCCATTGCCCGGAGCCAAGCTTGCCTGAGATCTTGAAATGGAACCAAAAAAAACTATCGTACTTGTACGACACTGTGAAGGCCAATTACCAAGCCAATCGCACGGCTGACTACGGCGAAATTCTGCAACACCTAGGTAAGCTACTGCGACCTCTTCAGTGCATGCGTTCCCTTCGCGCATGCATACATACATACATACATACATACATACATACATACATACATACATACATACATACATACATACATACATACATACATACATACATACATACATACTACGCAGTTACACATATACCCATGTACGGCATACATATAATATACGGCATATGTAGATATATGCAGTACGTAGGTATTGATATGAGGAACACGAAAATCCCGTGCAGGTCTTCACACGGGACATTGCACGTGGCATTTGGGGCACGGGCATACCAGTCTGTGTGTGCGACAAACCGCTGCTTGCCAAAGCGCGTAAAGCGTGTAAAGCGCGTAAAGCGCTATATCGGTGTTCTTATCGCCTAAGCCCACCTAAGCCCACCTAAGCCCACCTAAGCCCACCTAAGCCCACCTAAGCCCACCTAAGCCCACCTAAGCCCACCTAAGCCCACCTAAGCCCACCTAAGCCCACCTAAGCCCACCTAAGCCCACCTAAGCCCACCTAAGCCCACCTAAGCCCACCTAACCCACCTAAGCCCACCTAAGCCCACCTAAGCCCACCTAAGCCCACCTAAGCCCACCTAAGCCCACCTAAGCCCACTTAAGCCCACCTAAGCCCACCTAAGCCCACCTAAGCCCACCTAAGCCCACCTAAGCCCACCTAAGCCCACCTAAGCAGGCCTCAACGGTCCCAGACAGGTTCCTCTTCAGCATTTTGAACCTAAAACTCGCTGCATGTTGACGTTTGTAGTTCGGCCCCACTGCTGCCTGCTTTTGGAGCCTTTAGGACCCTTTTGCATTGGTTTCGGAGGGGCTGAGAGCTGCTCCAGAGCCGTAGCGAAACCTCTCTTACTCGATAGGTACAAACTGGATGCGCGCCTCCCTGGGGCGCACACGCGCGCGCGCGTGTGTGTGTGTGTGTCCATTAAGCAGGCTGGCATACTCATCCAGATCGGCGGCGCGTGCTGATGAAAGTACGATACAAGTACTGCGCTATGAAGCGGTTAGCGGAGCAAGGTCTGGAACTGGAGCACCGGATTCAGGGCCGGGTGCGTTTCATTGAGGGCAAGGGAGAGGGAGAGGGAGAGGGAGAGGGAGAGGGAGGAAGGTGAGGGAGGGTAAGGAAGGTGAGGGAGGGTAAGGAAGGTGAGGGAGGGTAAGGAAGGTGAGGGAGGGTAAGGAAAAAAGTTAATTGGGAAGAAAACGGAAAGCGGACCACAAGCACCACCACCACCACCACCACGACGACGACGACATGGTGAATGCGGACACTAACGCCTCAGCGTAGGAGTTGCGCGCCTGGCGACGATAAGGGACGTAGGATAGCATAGTCAGTGGTGCTGGTGGTTATCATGGTTGATGGTGAAATTTTGATCATCACGACAATGGAGGGGCACCACCACTCCGATTACAGTGTTCCGATCGCACATGTCAGGCACGACGCATTCCTCGGCGTGTCGCAGTCCTCGGCGTATCCGGATCTTGTCATTTAGCGCTCCATGACCCCCCTCCACTCGTCCACGGGTTGGCTCACCCCCCCTCCCGAGCTTCACTCGTTCGTGGTTCGTCTTTTCCCCCCACCCGGGCCCCGCCCCCATCCCCCCACCCGGCCCCCGCCCCCATCCCCCCACCCCGCCATCCCCGTTCCGACAGCGTTTCGTGTTATGACCAGTTTGCCCCGTGCGTCCTCCAAACCCCTACCCAGGTCAAGTACCCGTACCCGCTCGCACTCCGAGTCCGAGAAGCTCTCCTAAGCTTCCCTATGGGTCAGGTACGGCATGTACGAACGATTTTTTGTCAGTTTGCTCAAATTATTTTAAGCAAAGGGTGGCTGGTGTAACAGATGCGTCCCGTGAAATAGCCTAGTTAAGCGCACTGTTTTTAAGGGACTTGAGCTCGAGCTGGGTTGTGGCGTGATGTCTATTGTGTGTGCTGTGCTGTGGGTGCCATTTCGAGAAGAAACAGGGATCTGTCTCTCGAATCTCAATAAGTTCGTACTGTGCCGTACGGCGCTACGCCGAGTTTTGCTTTTCAACCGTCCGGGCCCCCCCTGCGGCGGGGACGCCTGTACAACAGGCAACGGTAAAGGAGGTGCGTGAAGCCATCGAGGCGGATCCGTCGTACAGCCCCTACCTGGACCGTCGACCCCAGACCACGGACGGTGCCCGCCAGGCCAGGTGGCAGAAGCAGGTGGGGCGGGGCGGTGTGTGTCGCGCTAATGCTTGGGGCACGGGGTACACGTGGGCGATCACTCGCATAAGTAATACGAGTCGCAGTTTCGACGGCGTCACATGGCCGCGAGGTCGGCCATCCCCGCACAAAAAGCTTACATTACAAAAGCTTACCGACAAGGGGAGATGCAATACGGCCCGCAAGCCCTGGTTCCTGCTACCTTAACCTCTGATTCTCACCACCGCTGTCTTCAGAGACTGACTGTCCACTTTTATGTATATATATAATACCTTTTCTTCTCCACCTCTTAACATCGCGTTTTGTTGCAGGATGTGCAACACCAACCTCCGGGTCGGCCGCCCACCTCCTCCCTAATTTTTTTGAAAATTTTTTATAACGCCTGTTTGTTTGTGTTGTCGTACTGCCGTACTGCTGTGGTCCTTTGATTTCGTACTGCCGTACTGTTGTCGTCCTTTGCTGCAGGTTGGCCGCATCCTGACTAGTCATTCGCATTGCGGTTTCGGCCGCACAGGCGAAAAGAGGAATGGGCTCAATCTGTACACGTATCGGCCATCCCTGGATCGGCGTTCCCGGGTGAGCCGGTGCTGCGAATTGATGAAGTGGCGACGGCAACTGGCACCGTGGCAAGGGTTTTAAATTAAAAAAAGTGCCTACGAGCCGGCGTACGGCAGCAATCCTTTCCCGTCGCTAACTCCTCTTCTCAGATGTAGCTGATTCCTCCTCATTTTGTCTGTTTAGCGCTTTCCGTTTTGTTTGCATCCGAAAAGAGCAGCTGGAGGTGGTCTTCCCCACCACCGCCCCGACGTGCTGTGCCGTGCCGTGCCGTACAGGATCCGGATCCTGTTCGCCAGGTCTTCGCGGCGTCCACGGGTCGTGCCTCGGATTGCGAGGGGGATGATGGCAAGTCGGCAGAGGAGGGAGTCTCGCCGGCGACAGCTCCGACTCCTTCGGCAACCGCATCCCAACCAACCGCAACAGTCGCAACCGCGGCTACAGCCACGGCTACTGCCACAGCTACTGTCACGGCGCCAGGCCTAACAGGGAAAACGGGCAGTACGGCATGTCCCTCTGCCCCGCAGCGCTCCTCGCCGTCTGAAGCTTGTTTAGGCTCCGCCAGGCCAGGGCCGCCTCAAGCGGCGGCGGCAACTGCTTGTCCTGCCCCCCAGGTGAGATCTGACGCTCCCGACGTCGGTCCCTGTGGTGGCCAGGTAGCAGCATGTGCGAGGAGCCAACCTAGCAGAGAAACGCAGGCACTCGGCGACGAGAGGGGGGTCACCGAGGGATCGCAACCATCGCCGCCGGCAGCAGCGGCAGCAGCTGCTGTGGCGTCGATGGCACAAGGGTCGATGGCATCCTCCAGCGTGCGACTTGGCGGGCCTTGTCTGCAGACGCGCACTGGCTACGACTGCGGCGGCGGTAGCAGTGTTGCGCCCTCAAGTCCTCTACGCGGAGGCATGTCTGGCGGCGACAGATGTGATCGCATCTGTGGTGGTGGCGGTGGTGGGGGTGGCGGTGGTCAGCAGCGGGACGCAGTCAAGGTGGCGCGATTGTCGGTTGGAGCAGCTGCGGCAGCGTCAGCGCCACGGCACGGACGCAATGGGCACTGCTCGTACAGAACGGTGTCGTACATGGCGGCAGCCGCGGCTGCGGCGCTGGCGGCGCTGGAGGACGGCGGGGAACTGTTGTTGGAGGAGAGGGTGACGGCGGCGGTGTTACATGCCGCGACAGTCCAGGGGCGTTCGTCAATGTGTTTGCCTTCCACGTGATGAATTGGGTATTACAACTCTTATGGCTCGTATGGGCACTCGTTACACCTCTCTGGGTAACGCAACCGAGGTGTAACATACACACACACATAACTCAGACGTGCGTGTACAAATGTACAGAAATGATTTGCTGAGCTGGGTGGCGATGCTAATGGCCGATGCTAGTGGCCGGATTGAGTGAACTGGGTTGCTTTGGGAGATTCCGAATTGTTGCATTGGCTTGTGAGGGGGTTAGGCAAGGAAAAGCCTCGCCGTCACGGAGTGGAGGGTCTTCGCCAATCGGTCGGGTCTAGTGGTGAGGATGGTGTGCGCGCCTTGGCTTATAGCATGGTGTGGAGATGGAGCGGTTACAGTGGTCCGTGGCATTTATGGGCGGTCGGTGATTGGTGTGTTAGAATGCTCGTTGTGACAAGTATCACGGCTGTGCAGTTGTAACCCTCAAGGGGAAAGGAGGCGCTGAGTTTGGGAGGAGCTGACTTTCAGGATAAAGGGGCCCCGTTACCGGGGAAGTGGACGCGAACGGGTTAAGGGGTTATTTCCGGCTAGTTAAAGCAAAGACAACTTGTTTGGAAAGAGCTCGCAACTAGCCTGCTAAAAGCTGTCTATGTGGGTCTAACTGCAACGCGCTTGACGCACGTACCTTGTTGACGGGTCAAGGATATGGATCCTGAACCCCGGAGCTTGGCCCACTGCACCCCAGCTGAAAGCTTTAACAAGCGCAGTTTTGGATTGGAGTGCTGTTAATTAATTCTGTAACAGTTTTCTTTTTGGCACAAGATGTTTAGTAGGGCGATACGGACCTCCTCCTGGAGTGCTGGCACAAGCTATCCCGCACGCCCTTACGAGTCGTCATGCTAGTAAGCACCCTGATTACGAAGCACTTACATAGGCTTTCAAAGCAATTTAGTTTACATCCTCGCTTTATGGCGTCATTAACAAGCAACGGCGGACTTGATATCGAACTTTGTTCACATTGCTTCGGCTGCCCTGTAGCTAATTCGCAATGCATCCATACACTTTACTACTAACATTACGACGATTTCTCCATCGCTAGAAGTTGGTCTGTTAGGGGCCGTACTTTTTTCCTCTTATTGGGCCCTCACAGGGCCCTGAGGGAGGCCCTTCTGAGAAACCAACTGCGCGGGAATCCCGCCTAGTGCCTCTATCAACGCCCCGCGGACGCGGTGTCGCTCTAAACGCCCTCAGGGCGGTCACCGCCTGGCAATCGGACGCCCTTGGGGGCGTTCCGTTTGCCAAGGCACCAGGCCCGAAAAACGTGGTGTCGTCCTAACTAGACAGGGCCGCGTAGCTTAAGCCTTATGGCGCAGCCAGCACAAGTTGTTAGGCAATCGGACCTTCAGGACCTCGCGGGCCTGTTCCTTTCGGCAGCCTCGGTCCTCGCGCCAGGCGTTGTGGTCGCAGGGCCCCCCGGGTCAACAACACCTGGAGGCAGTTTTGCCCCCGTTTTGCCCGCACACATTTTACAACAGCAGGCGCTTTTAGCAGGCGTCAATGAGCAGGATGTCGGGTCTCGTTTAGGCAAGGCAGGCAAGGCTACAGGCAAAGTTAAGGATCTCACAGATGCAGCAGTCGTCGAGTCCCTTCATGGTCAAGCCTTTGAGGTGCTTGCAGCTCAGCACCAACCGCTGGCTGTCCTGCAAGCGCTGGGCCAGCTTCCCACGGACCCCGCCACAGCGGCCGCGGCCGCAGCGGCCGCGGCTGCTGCCGCAGCCGCAGCCGCCCAGCAGCCTCATGCCGGCGTTTTGCCAGGTGCCAACGGCGATATGGGACAGCAGCTGGAGCCCGCTACCACGACCAAGAAGCGGCGCAGGGATACCGTGGCGGAGAACGAGAGCGCGGGCCTAATTTGGACGGACGAACGTGTTCAGTTGGTCTTCGAAACCGTCAAAAATAACATGGCCACAAACAGAAAGCCGGACTATCCAGGCCTCATCAAGGCTCTAGGTGAGCGGAGGGAAACCATATTTTGTACATAATTGCGGCGTCCGTGACCCCCCGACTTTTACGGACGCCCCCGCACACATGTGTGCAGAACTTGTATACCTTGCAAGTTCTAGAGTATGCTGTCCACCTGCCCTAAATGCACCTTTGGCCCAGCTAGCTGTTACAGTTCCCCTGTAACTTGTATGAGTTGCGCGGATGACTGGCCTAAGGGCCCTGTGCTGACCTCCGATGGACCATTTCCATGTCTATCCGACCGTTGCACCCTTTTCCCCCCAGGCTGGGACGGTGTGCCTGATCAACACAAGGTGGTGCTGAAGCTGCGCAATAAGTACAGTGCCATGCGTCGGATCGTTGAGAGCGGAGCCACCTTTGAGGAGCGCATCGCCCCGAAGGCAAGCGAGTCCTGGCTTGTGCACGCGCGCGCGCGCGTGTGTGTGTGTTTCTCGATGTATACGTGTAAAGGACACAGTGCTATGTGTGTGCATGTCGATGCTGACTTCGAACCTGCAACAGTACGCGCGGATAGGTGGTGGGCAGGGCAGGACAGGGCAGGGCAGACAAGGTTTGTACGCATTACTTGTTGACGAAGTGACTTATTGTCACTCGGAAGGAAGGGCCCCGAATCCAGATGATGTGCTTCCCACGCTCTCAGGTCTTTGCCTACACACATTATGCGCGCTATTCAACGACTTTATTGTTTTTAGTTACTGTACTATTTCGTAACTGGTTAATGAAGACGTTGCACTGTTATCATCAGGTGGATTATCCGTACCCGCTGGTTCGGAAGGTGAAGGAGGTCCTGAAGAATTTTCCTGATTGCTCGGTGAGGTGGGCGGGTGTTGTGTTGTGTTGTTGTGTGGGTGGGAGGGGGTGCCTTATAAAGGGGTTGCGTGACGCGGCATAGAAAGCCACAAAGCAAGAATTCAGGTTGCCGCGCGGGATCCAGCCGCATGCCCGTGCATGATGGCGAGCACGGGGGTCCTTGGACAAAACTTGGCTGGTGGTTGGGCTGTGTGTTTTGTGTAGTGCTTGTGGCAGCAAATCCCGCATGCTGGACACGATGGGAGGCGTAGGTAGTAAGGATTCCGTGTAAGCATGTAAGTACGACCGTCTTCCGCTTTTGTAGTAGTGCTGCCCATCCCCGTGGCAAGACTTGCTGGTGAGTTGCGTGAAGAAGAAAAAAATATTTTTTCTAAGATATATTAATATACTATTTATATATATTACATTCTACTTTCCTTTAAAATCTCTGTGTATATATGTATGTACATATCCTGAAGCAAAGTAGTACCTGTTTGCGCCTTGTACTCGTCCGCCTTGGCGTTCACCTTCCTAAAACACTCGGGGTTTATTACTGCTTTGTGTATGGATTTCCAGGCAACGGTTAAGGAGGTGTGGGAAGCCATGGAGAACGATCCCTACTACAGCCCCTACCTGGACCGCCGACCCCAGACCACGGACGGCAGGCGCCTGACTCGATGGCAGAAACAGGTACGAGACATCCTCATCCATTCCTGCGGCAACTTTCTCCGTTGCGTTGTCGCGTTAATCGGTACAAAAAAGATGTAATGTAAAAGATGTAATGTAACCGCCCGCGCTTTCTGAACCTGGTAGCCACGGCTGAGCCAGTTGTTGTTTTGGATCAGAATCAGGCACTGGTGAGCTTGGGTCCAGAGATACTAGGATAACGATTTGGGTCGGAGCCAACATGGACGGGTGTGTTAAGTGGTGGTTGGTTGGTTGGCTTTTGGCGTCGTGGACGCTAAGTGGTTCGGAACGCTGCTATAGAATGATGGCTGTAGTCTGGCGATGGAGCTATTCGGCATTTAAGGGATATATTTTTATTTTTATTATTTAATAAACACTGGGTTACTATTATTTTGGCGAGCGGAGCAAAGTCCGGAACACTCGGTATCTCCATACCGCCGGCATCCCGCCATGGAGAACCTGAGCTCCGTGAAAACCTCCCCTCCTTGCAGGTCAGCCGGATCCTCACCAGTCGCGTCCGCTTCGGCTTCATCAACACAGGCACTAAGAAGGACGGCTTGTTCGTTTACAAGTACGACGCCGCGCAGGATCACACAACACGCAAGGTTTGTGTTGACTAACATGCGGAAGTGCTGCTGCTGCTGCTGGGCTTTGATACGGAATGCTGCAATGGGATAGCCGGACATTGTAGTAGGATGTTGCCTGGACACAAAAAGGCAACACGATTTTCTTTGCAGCAGCAGAGGGGCAGCAGTAGCAGCAGCACTAGCAACAGCAGCAATAGCAGCAGCAGCACTAGCAGCAGCAGCAGCAATAGCAGCAGCAGCAGCAATAGCAGCAGCAGTAGTAGCAGCAGCAGTAGTAGCAGCAGAGGGCAAAAGCAGCAGGCACCCCGCTTGGGCTGCCGTGGGTATATGATATGAGGTCCGGGAAGTACGGAGGCATTTAGCACCGACACGGAACTGCCGCTGTTGCTGTCGCGATGGCTGGTGCAGCCTTGTGCTGATCGATGTAACGGTGCGGGGGGGGGGGCAGCTCGGCATGTGACGCCGTGCAGCCTAAGGTGCCTTTGCATACCTTGTATCCATAGCGCTGCAGTTCTGTTTGAAGGTTGGTGCACCTTGGCTTTTGCGTGTTGTGCGACCGGAACGTGCACGGTGAAATCTGTCGACACCTGGGCGATCATCCATCAACTGTGACCCTCGCTACTTGATGTCTGCATTGCGCAAACATCGAAATAACTCGTATTTTTCCTTTTCCTTCTCCTCATGGTGCTAACTTACCCGCCTTCATTGTCACTCTGCCAGGCACGTTTGAAGTTCGATCTGGCGACAGGGGCGCCTCCAGGCATTCCTGGCCTGCCTCTGCCGAGCGGCGCTGCCCTGCAATCGTTGGACGACCTCGGAGATGACGACATGGACGATGACGACGACGGCGGCGTCGATGGCGGCGCAGGGGGGGGTACCAAGCGCAGCACAGCGGAGAAGCGTGCAGCGGCAGTCCAACGGGCCGCGCTGCTGCCTCCCGGAGCCCTCGAGGTCGGAGTGGACCCGCACACGGCACCGAGACACCGCAGCAATCGGCCGTTCCGGCCGGCCTCTGGTGCCGCCGCGGCGCAGCATAGCCATCAGCAGCAGGTGGCAGCCGCTGCGGCGGCGGCTGCCGCTGCCGCGGCAGGACAGATCAACATGCAGCAGATGGGACAGATGCTGGCGGCCGCTGCAGCAGCAGGCCAGGCAGGTGCGCTGGGCACGGGCGCGCAGCCTTTTGCTCAGATGGTTGCGGAGGCAGCGGCAGTGGCCGCGGCGGTGGGCGCGAACGGAATGGCAGCTGGGGGGGCTCCGGGCATGGTGCTGCCCCTTACGGTGGGACAGACGCCGGGGACACTGGGTATGGGGCAGGTGCATCTGGGCGTCGGACAGGGCTCCCAGCAAATGGGCATGGGGCAGGGACCGTTGGGGGTTGGTCAGCAGCAGGGAATGGGTATGGGGCAAGGCGCCCTGACATCGGCCGCACCGCTGACTGTAAGCCCGCACGATATGCTGGCGTCGTTGGCGACCAGCCCGCAACTGGCAGCTGCAATGGCGGCGGCAATGGTGGATCCCAGCCAGGTTGCCGCCAGCACGGCCGCCGCTGCTGCAGCAGCCGTAGCCGCGGCAGCCGGAAAACGCCCGTCGGGCCGAGCTTCCCGACTGGGGGCCGATGCCTTGGGTGAAGCCGACGGCCTGGGGGATCTTCAGATGGATGGCTCGGCGACAGAGGGTCAGCAACACCTTGAGGCGGGCAGTGCGGCTGCAGCGGCTGCCGCCGCCGCGGCAGCGGCGGCCGCTGCCGCCGGCTTGACGGACAGCCAGGGGCTGCTGGAAGCCCTCACTGCGGCGAGCAGCCTCGCTGGAGCGTCGGGTCTTCCCCCTGGTGCGCTTACGGACGCTGCCATGCACTTTGCACAGATGCAGCAGCATCACCACCAGCTGCACATGGCTGGCCTGCAAGTGATGACCGCAGCACCTGGGGCTGGGGGCCTGCTGGGCGGTGGCAAAGATGCCGACGTCCGGGCAGGTTACGTTGGAAGTGAGGGCGCCCAGGGGGCTGCCGGTGGTGCTGGTGAAACAGTGGTGGGCCCGGATGGTGCTGGCGGTGATGAGGGGGCCACCCACCAGGGGCATGCTGACGGTGCAGGAGGGGGAGTGGGTGCGGACGCGCATGGCATCATGCACGCTGGCAATGGTGGCATGCTACAGGGTGGCGAGGACCCAGTGGCCGTTGTGGCGGAGCATCACCCGCACCAGCATCACCACGCAGCAGGTCATTCGGGCACAGCGGACCATCACGGCGGCGGCGGCGCGACGGTGCTGGACGATAATGCCGCGGCGGCGGCGGGGACGCCGGGTGCCGCCGGTGAGCACGCGCAGCCGGAAGATGCGCTGAACGACGGGACGATGGCGGCGGCAGCGGCGGCAGCAGTGGCTGCACACGACAGTCTGCTACACCTGCAGGCTATGGGCCTGGGCGCGGCAGCTGCGGAGTATCTCCAGGCGTCCCATCAGCTCATGCAATACGCAGCCAACCCGGCATCTGCGAATCAGCTCCTGCTGCAGCTCCACTCCCAACAGCTGCAGCAGCAGATGGAGCTGCAGTACCAGCAGCACCAGCAAGTTATGAAGTATCAGGAAGAGGCGGTTTTGGCCGCGGCCGGATCGCCGTCGCAACAGCAGCAGCATCCGGACGGTACGGGAGCTGAGGCGTCTGGCGGCGATGCATCACCCGGTCAGGGTATGCATCTCGCCCCACAGGGCCAGGCCGCACAGGACGTATCAATGAATATGTTGCTGGCGCCGTTCCTTAGTTTAGGTCCATTGTTGGGCTTGCAGCCTTTGCAGCATGTGTTCGGTGGAGCGCCGCACCCTGGCATGGTGCCAGAGGTAGAGGACCCGAACACCGCTGGATTGCCAAAGTAAAAATACCTCTCCGTTTGGCGTGGCCAACGGGAAAAGGGGGAAGGAAGATCGCACGGGCCAATGTGACAGAGGGGGTGAGGGACGGAAGCAGAGGATACGAAGTGCCAGATGTTCGCGGAGGGCCTGATTCTGGCATGCACGGTGAAGGTGTGGAGCTGATGGGGATGCGGCAATGAGGGTGGCAACTTGGCGGGCTGGCCAGATACGATGTTGCCCTCGAAAGGACGGAACGTGCGGCTTGGGAAAGGCAGCGGCACGGACACGCCTGAAGTCTATGCACTTTTGTTCTGTTTGTTCGTTTGTTTTTTGTTCTCGTTTGTTTTGTTCGGTTGTTGTTAGTCGGGCCGAGATGTCGTGCCGGCAAAATCATATACGATACATGTACTGGATGCGAGAAGGAAAATGGTTGGACAGTGCACCGCTTGCGCGTTCTTTGCACCACAAGTTTACGAGCCACAGGTTTTACCCGAACGAAGTGAGCCACACACGGAATTACCCGCGGGTCGGATGAGAGAGAGAGACTGGTGCCACAGCTGGTGGCGGAGTGTCTGGTTGGCGGGAGCAGATGACGGAAACGACGTCTTCTGACCTCTTCCCGCTCGCACATCATGCGCGCATTCCTTCCGGGTGACGTCTACATTGTCGTGATGTGTTACAATTATACGACGCACCGCTCGGAGTGTGCCTCCGTAAAGGGGGAAGGCAGCAATCAATTTACCGCTGCAGCTGCGCATTTGATGCTGGTTATATGCTCTGCATACGGAGGCCGTTTGTCATCGGGGTTCAGGTGCTTTTCCTTTCTTACTCTGTTTTTTTCTATCAGTGCTATCAAACGTGGAGTGGAGGGCAGCGGTGACGTCAGGGTACGCGGCGGCTACTACCCATGGGGTCCCTAGAGGTTACGGAGGCGGCACTGGCCCCGCCATGTGGGACGTACTTTCTGTCCTTTTGCACTGAAGCAGGAAGACGGGCATAGGCAGGTCGCCACCACGGCGGGGAAAAGGAGGACCGGACCGTCTCTTTCCCAGCGGACATTTTTCCTGGTGATGAGGAGGTATTGTCAGTGGCGATTTTGGTGTCTTGGGGGGGGGGGGGGCTCTCAGATGTTCGTTCTACCCAGGTGAACCGTGACGACCCGCGGGGGGGGGCGATCCTACAGGTCAGTTCAGTTCAGGTGTGTGCCTCGTTGGACGGACTGATGAACTGTAGGGTATTATTGGGGTTATGCGCCCTTACAGCAAAGCTCCCCATTAAAGCAAAACGGCAAGAGGGGCTTAGGGGCTCAGCACGTGGGCAACCTTTTGAAAGGAAAAGTCAAAGAGTCCGTTTCGGGTCGGTTGCACAACATCGTCGGGCTGGTTGGTGCCGTGACACTTGGGTGTTCACGGAACTCTCTGGCGGAGAGGAGTTGCATGAAGATGATGCAGGTCTAGATAGATGCAGTGAGCGCTTCGTGATCCATCAGACGCAGGACACTGAAAGCATAAGCCATGCAGAAGCCAAGTACATCTCTATTCTATTGTGTAAGTCAAGTTGGGGGAACTCCGTTGCGTGTGGAGTGCTGGGGCTGGAAAGAAAACGCTGAGGGAGGATTAGAGCCCCGAGGGTGTGTACTTAAGAGGCGACTTAAGAGGCTCCGGCAGACGATCCCGCTACAGCTTGAAGTCCCGCAGATGGGATGAACGATGACGTACGAGCTGGTTGGGCAAGCTCCAGTACAGCTTCCCTGAGTCACTTCCAAAGCGGTACGACAAGGCCCAAGGAGGTACGATAATGACTAATAGCGGCTAGCGTAAAGGCGGACACAGCGCCTGCAGTACGCCATGCTGCTTGGCCAGTGGCGAGTCCCTGACTGCTGATGAGACTGCGTACGGCAGGGCGCTCCTGCCTACCATGCTACTGCGCGTCCTGCGGAGGTGGCGGTCGCGCCAACCGCCGTGCTTCTTGCATCCCCCAGTCTTTGGATTAGTATGATACCCTGTATGTCCAAGGACAGTTGGACTGAGTACAACACACACCTTTGTAGTAGTGGGTATTGCAGCGAGGAACAGACCTTAAGAGAATACCCCAGGGTGGTGTGCCATGTCAGGCCATCGGGCCGCAGTTGATACAAATTGCACCATGCGAGAGTAGCTTCTCTGCTAGTAAATCCTATGTATACAGTCCATTTCTACTCCCAAGCTACATTTTTGTGAATGCTAATAACAGCCGGAACGCTTCGTTATAAAACGGAAACAATCGCAACGTTTCCGGATTTGAGGCCAGGGACCTGCGCTTCTGGTTCATAGATCTATCAACTTTCGGTTGCGAAGGCTTCATGCAATATGACGGGTGCATAGGTCCCATCGGCGCCCTTCCTTCGTAAATCGTTAGCGTCGTGATCGTATTCATCATTCAAACCTCACATCGAGCCGTCATCAAGCGGTGAGAACATCTGAAAATCTCGAAGTCTGAGAGCCACCTAGTGAATAATATGTTCTTGTAGCTGTTGCGGTTGCTTGAACCAGGCAGCACCTGCATGTTATGTTGCGGCGCCTAAGAAGGTAAAGGCGATAACTCGCTTCTGCTTTTTTTGAATTATAGAAAAGCCACGATAACGTAAATGTATCCTAAGGGATGTGGTATTTGGCAGAATGCTGGCCACGGCCACATGTCGCGTTGCATGGCAAGCAGGTCGACTCGCGATGCCGTTTTCGTGTGAGGCGTTGTTGGCCGCGCAGCCAGCGTGTTGGAAAAGCCAGACACATCGCAATCTCCGTAGCTCCTGTAGCTCCAGTTTGCGCGATCCGACAGCTAGCCTGCTTACCTTATAGCACACGGAGGGACCAAACCGCGGCAGGGGAGCTCGTGCGTCCTAGTGCAATCACCGCGATGGGCAAGTAAGTTCTACGTTGAGCTGACGCAAAATCTTAAGTCTATCGGAGATAGAAGCAAGCTGAAGATTTGTCCGTCATCGCCATTCAGTAGAAACGAAACCGGTGCCGTGGACCGTACCGTCAAACTTTGAGCGGTACCTGGTATTAGATGCGCGTTTCCTAGGGGTTACCGAAGTGTATGCTCACGTGGGGAATTGGGGACAGTTCCAGCACGTCTTTAAGCTCGAGAGTGCTGCTGTGGCGGTGAAGCGGCGATGAAAAATAGGATTTTCAGCTTAAGACAAGACCTTCTAAAGGGAAGGTTTAAACGAATCGAAAGCTGGCCTTAGGCTCTCAATTCCTCCCAAAGCCCGAAGCTTAGTTGCGCCCACGAGCACGATGTACAATAACGTAATAAGCATCAAAAAAGACCTGGCACTGCAAATATTGAAAAAATGGTGTTATAATCGTTAGGATGCTCTCATTCTTTCTAATTAGGGCCATCGTGTATGCGAAGTGGGACTTGCCCGACAAGATGAAAGTTGCTACGGAAGTTTATCGTCCGTATGTGTACAGACTTTATAATGGCAGTTATCGTGGTGATAGGCAGACGTTTCGGAGTGAAATCAGTTAAAAATGTCCCTCAATCACCAGATTCGATGCTGTACAGCGTCATCCTCAACATGCGACACCGAAAAATAATCGATACATCAACCGTAAGTAGTTTGTGTATTCGAATTAGGGTTGTGCACGTGTTGGGAGCCGCGTTACAAATTCGCAGGATTACGTTAGATATCTTTGTACCGACGCCGTACTTGTATAACTAGCATCGCAGCTGAAGCTCACACTTTTCGTTACGTGTTCGCTGGAAATGGCAACGAAGGCATTTTGGTAGCACACGATGGGCTAATGTGGCGTCAGGGATGTTTACCAGTGAGGCCCAATTGTGAATAAATGGAAGCTCCTGCTGTTCTCCCGCATCTTAAGGGCCCTGGGAGTTGAAGCTATCATTTACCCCATATAAACTTTGCGTCGTTATTGTTTATCAGTACCAATGTTTCGTCAAGCTTCAAAGCCGATGTGTAAGAGTTCGAGCTTGCGAAAAGAACTTTCTTTGCTTAATGGTGCTGAATTGCAGAAACCGTCATGTAGTTATTGTGTCAAGTTCTTTGGTACAAAAGTGTCTCCTGTGATGCCGTGCTTTCCTACATTACATCCCGGTACAGCAGAAAATGCAGTGAAAAAGCTTATGCTGAACAATAATTTATGAAGGGTTCTGCTTTTGACTATAAATGGTGCTTAGCCTTACCTTCATGAACTTCTTACGCAAGCTTACAGGATTATGGGTTGACTCGGAACCGTAGGAGAAATGGCGTCACAGCGTGCCGAGTCAGTTGCTAGCAGTGCTGCAGGACATGGACTTGAGAGCTTCAACCTGATGTAGGTGTTGTGTCAGTGTTGCTCATGGCAATGCGCCCTTACGCCTTACCTACTCAGTAGGCGTTGCTGTACCCGTAAAAACCTTGGTTTATTAGGTTTTAATCCCGTTGTGTACTCATTTTTCATCCCCGAACGGCCTTCGGCTTTGTGGGCCATCAACTGCTGCCTGCGGCTTAACGCGGCGACGCTGTCACTAATGACAGGGATGGAGCCCTCGGATCGGATTACGAGCAAGATGACATATTACAAGTAAGAAGGCCCAATTCATGAACTTCATGACACAAGCTTATCGACTACGTCTTGCTGTTGCCCGTTTCCGCAAGCCGCAAATGTCACTTAGGCAATGGACCCTTTAATACACTGCATCAGCCTAATTTTTAACCCTATTACCTTGCCACCTGTTGTCACTGTAGGCGCCCTCTTTGGAGTCCGGAATTTTTGGCGTGCTCTTCACTTTAAGCCAGGAGAAAAACCAACAGCATATCTATTACCATTGGATACTTCTTAAAGTAAGGGCCGCAACTAAGAATTGTTACGCTAACTTGCCAGCAGCCGATAAGGTTTCACGTTTTAAAGACGGTCGTTATAGCACGGAGTGGCAGGCAGAGGCAAGGGTGACTGCATCCGCATCCCCTCCCCACGTGATGATGTCATGGAGAGCGCAGACCGAGGGCGAGCCCGTGAAGTTTAGTCCGCCACGAGCTGTTCGGCGCCGTTACAGCGCTGTCGCACCTAGGAATCCTTGCTTCTCACACGACGGGTTTGATCTTATGGCGACATTTGACATCGCCAGATCATTACTTGTAGCTGTCTGCGCCGTCTGAGCATTCCCCACCGTGCATTGGTCATGGCAATCTCACTATTGCTGCTTAGTGCCAACTCCCAACGCTCAACGGCGCCCTTCCGCACTCCTCGCCTGGGCTCAAAATGCGCCCTCACCTTATCCATGCCCTAAAAGCTGTGCTACTGCTCCAGACTTCCTTTGCCGCTGTCGTTATTACCAGGCCATGTTTTACCTGCGGCCCACTTTTCAAAGTACGGCACCTGTGTGTGCGTGTGTGTGGTTGTTACAGTGGGCTCCAGACTCACGAAGGGTAGAGCCAGCGGGCCACCTGGCCGTGCACTGCACTAGAGACGAACACCTGTGGTGTTGTCCCGCTGCTTGCGATTATGACCGCTACCTTGCCGGGCTACCCTCCTGCTGCAGATTCTGTTAGATGCGTGGCAGCTCTTTACAACAATTGTGTCGCCTGAGTTGGGCTGGGATATCGACCCCGACAGCATGGCATGGAAGTGCGTATCCGTGCTCAGCTTTGGCTGGCTGAAGGACTTGGTAGGCAACCCTCTGAGAATTGATGTGGTCGTCCGGAAAGGCAGGGTTGTACGGCACATTACTCTTCTCCAGATTGTATGGTTCCATCAAAGGGCTGGGCGATGATTACGCCGTGTTGGGTATCCTTTGGTATTGACTGGTTCGGGTCAAGTGGTGAACGTTTTGAGTAGCGGGGAAGGGTGCTGTGGGCAGGAGGGCAATCTGCAGAGGACAGACCGTGGGGGCAGGTACTGCATTACCTAGCTCGCACTGTGCCGGCCTGTGAAAAAGATGTTTGCCGTACATCCGTACACTGGGTCTTGATGGGTCCGCTGTAGCTGTACTTGCTTGAAAAGTCTTTCCAATAGCAGAAGCGACACCTAAACGGAGGCGGACGAGCAACCCCTTGTTTGGCCGCGCCCCTGATGTGTCCACCGATGGGCCCTCGCAACAGGGTTACAGGTGGTATGTTGCCGTACTGTACAGCATGGCCGGGCTGCTGGCGGTTAACTTGGTGCTGTGCGTTTGGGTGGCGTGGAGCTTCAAGGAACAGAAGTTTGACTACGTATGGCCCATAAAGGTACGATTATTTGCACGGTGCCGTACATCAACCAAATGATGAAGCTTATGAAGCAAATCAGAAACGAGCGCCTGCACGGTTTGCCCTGGACTTGCTTCCTAGCAATGATAATAATAATATTATTATTACTTATTATTATTATTTATTATTATTATTATTTATACATTATTATTATTATTATTTCATATTATATGTTATCATTATTGTATATTATATTTTATTATCGTATTTAGTATTATTGTTCGTATCCAACCCATTTTTTCACGGCTACTAGCTAGACAGTGTGGCAGTGCGGTGCGGCAGCGCGGTTGTCCCAAAAAGCAGGAACGGGCGGTGATTACTCCAGGGGATGTACAATTGTGGTGATGATGATGATGAGATGATGATGATGATGTTGATGATGATGATGTTGATGATGGTGGCGATGATGATACTACAGGATGTGTGGCAGGGCAACAGTCGCAACAGTTGCAGTTGCAGCCACGTAAGCCGCAACAGCAATGGCTTCACTAACCTGACCGGGATCTGAATGAAAACTGGCGAGGCGCAGGCTAAAAGCTAACAATGCGACCATGCGTGGGGCTCGGACCTTCCAGAAGCTGTGCACAGAGACGACGACGCCCTTGGAGAACGGGTTGGCGTCTGTAAAAGCTTTCATCGTCTATAAATCGACCGTCCCTATCTAGTATCCATAGACGATTAACAATATTACATGGGGAGGGGTCCATTGACAGGAAGGGTCTTGTGACATGGTACGCAGCACTACTGGAGGCAGCTCCCCCCAGACACAAAGGCTATAGCTGCATTGTTTAGCCCTCCCCCAATCGCCCCTTACCTGGCGCGAAGGGGTGACCCGTTCTTGCGTGTCTTTTCGCACCTTGGCCACGTACTGTCCGCTTCGATTTCTGGAGTTCAACAGAAGCTGGTATAACCGTACTTGCATATTACCTTTCTTGCCTTCTTTTGGCCTTGCTGGCCGGCAGGTCGTGCGAGGCTTCTCATACGTCTTCCTACAAGTCTTCGATATCACCAGCCTAAATTTTTTGCAGGTAAGCTGACGACTATTGCTTCAGTCATGACCGGCGTGGCTAGGACTTGAGTATTGAGGACGCTCAGAAGCCGTTCGGAGGCCTATAAGCGCTCTCTCTCTGTGGGAATCCTCATGCACCGTACCCTGAGTGAAAAGTAAAATTTACGCCAGTATCATAAACCCGAGCGTGTATTAAGGGGACCAGCGATGTGCGGGTTGGGAGTCGCAACCGGCCACCAACAGTATCTTGTTTTCGCAGATATACCTCCGCCTGCTGCGCCTATCCGTGTTACCAGTCTCCCGAAACCGTCCATCGGCACATGTGGTCCGGTGTTCAACCATCCCGCCCCCAGTCACCCCCACAGGCGCCGTCATCAGGCGCACATCTCCGGTTGCGCGTTTAACCGTGGCGCACGGCCACTAACCAACCGGGGACGGACAAGGACCCTGCTATAAAGCCGAACTACACAAACTGCACTCCCTTAACCATTTGAACCCCGGAATTCGAGCCTGCGATCACGTGCACTCATCCTTACGTTATGGCTATTCCACCGTATCCAGCACGTAAACGAACGACAACGCCGTTGTCCGTTGCTGCTTTTGTCAGAAGAGTAATCAAACCCCAATCGAACTTGTCTGCAAGCAACAAAAGCCAAAAACCGCCAAACGTCCCCAAACTCTCTTCTGACTTGATGTTCTGGAACCAACGCTGCCCTGCTGCAGCTAGGGATATCCTGCAATTACGTGGGGCCTGCCAAGCCACACCTTCACTTGTCCATGTTCCCCTCACACAGTGAGTCCGCGGGCATATTTGCCTATGGGCCTTGGGTACGCGGGTATAGAATTTTGCCTTTGCTGGTTGTGTGCAAGAGCGACGTTCTTGGTGCATTAAACTGTCGCTTATCTTGGCGGATTAGCGTCTACCAGGTTGATTGGTTGGCCGCCAGGTTGATTGGTTGGCGTCTAGTTGATCTAGGTTTGCTTGCCATCCGCCGCTCCCGTCCTCCACCCACCTTCGCATCCGTTTATTGCTCTTCCTATCCTGCGGTCCCCCAGGCTGCTCATCGTCGCCCCACATAATCCACGCGCTGGTTTCGGGGCTGCTGTTGCTGCTGTTTGTGGTGGTTGCCATGTTGGTCAACATGTCGGAGGTGCGCCCGGGGTGGGGTGGGGTGGGGTGGGGTGGGAGAAAGGGTAATGGTTGCGTGCTGGGCGGGCGGCAACAACGGGAAGGGAAGCGGACAAAGTGTACCTCTCCTACGGGTCTGGGTCTCTCTCCTCTGCCGTTTCCGTGGCAGGCAAGGCTTCCGGAGCCCTGCAAGGACCAGGGCCCCTTGCGTGCTTTCCAGGGGGGAGTAGTGGTCGTGTGAACAGACTAGAAGGCCTGCGGAAGATGAGACTTCGGACGATTTTGTTGGTCGGAAAGCAAAAACGTTGTGCTGGAAGGGATTTTGCGTCGAGATCGCAGTACGTACTCAACCCGTGAAGTAACCAGGTGGTGAGTATTAAGCTTGCGTCCGCACTCACCCGCAGTGCACTCACCCGCAGGCTGGGCAGCAGGTTCGACCTTGCAAAATATGATGCGCGTGGGAGAAGATGCCTGCTGGTCAGCAGTCGATAGACGCTCCAAGTAGATGGGGGTACGGCACGATACGGGTTTTGCTTGTGTGTGGGCTCCTGCCCGTTCGGCTGGTCAGCCAGCTTGCCAGGCGGTGTGCTGGTTCACCCTCTTCTGTCCTTGAATGCAATTTACTCGAATGCAATTTACTCGAATGCAACACAATTATCCCCAGTCACTACCAACAACTGATGGAGGTGGTTGTCTGTTGGCGGTTCCCTGTTAAAGAAAGGGCCTGCATTAGCCATATGTGCATGTTCTGCACCCACGCCATTAGAGCCTCTCCTCTTTTAGCCTTTTACAGACATGTCTCCCAATGCGGTTGTGATTGGCTTAATGCAGGTGGAGGTGAACCCTACTAGCAAGACGCCCCAGGCGCTCGGCCACAGCGGTGCAGAGGTTACGGCCTTTGGCATCAAGGTACGCGCTAGCCCTTGGTTTTGCACAGCCCTTGGTTTTGCAACACATGCAGCATTGGGTTGACATACAGCCCTCGCCGTGCTCAAGACACAGCACTTCTTTTCATTTCTGCTGGCAGCTATGTGGTGGCTGCTTACCGGCGAATACGGAGGGAGGTGCTGGGAAGGTTTTAAATGCCGCACGGGATCCTAATCATCAGCTAGCTATCTCTACTGCCGTGCTAATAATCACACCTTACAGGCTATCTTCGGCATATGGCTAATCTGATATTAATCAGATATTATGCAGATGAATACATCTGCATAATATGCTGATGCAGATATTCAGCATCTGCATAAACGCTGGCAAATGCTGAATATTTTGATTTTCTGTAGTAAGTCATGTATGCTGGCCATGTCTGGGATATTGCATTCCAATTTTGTAGGCCCTAGTGGAAGTGGCGCTGCTGTGTACTGCCGGTGCCGTTACGTGTTATATTCCCTGCAGGCACTAATGACCCTGGTGGGCGTCTTCCTAGGCTGGCCCAAGGTCGCGGCAATAGCGTACTGCCTTTTGGCAGCATGGCTAGCGTGGGAATATCTTCGATGGGTGAGCAAGCTTAAATAAGCAACTGACGAGCCGGATGCGACGGCCTAGCCTAGGACGGGCTAGCTTCACGACGTTTGCTCTGAAAGTGCCCATCTCGCAGCTGCAAGGTCCAGCCGGTCAATCACTTAGACCGATTTCCTCCCGGATGGAATTGGAATATGGACTCTCTGCACAGACACACCTCCCTATGCGCGGTCTTCAGGAACACGCAGTAAAATGTCTGCAGTAAAATGTCCAAAATAAAAATAAGAATAAAAACTACAGGAACAACTAAGTTGTTCCTGTACAGCGGGGGTTTAGTCCTGTAGGTGCATGCGTGTTCGCCACACGTGCTTTTCTTCCACACGCCTCAATTTTTACAATTCCCTCCATGCAACCTTCAAAACTCCTACAAAACTCGCTCATCACCTGCTTCCGTACCAACTAACATCTAACCGTCTCAACTGTAACTGTCACTAACTGTCAACCACCAGGTACCCCACCTGCTGACCTGGGTCAACTGTCTTAAAGGTGGTGTGGCACTAGCCATGTTTGGGGTGGCTGTGATGCAGCTCGCAATTGCGCTGCAGCCCCGAGGACTAGAACGGCCGGGCGGGATGGCTCGAACGGTGACCCTGGCGATGGCAGTGGGTTTGGGTCCCCTATTCCTTCTTGGCGCGTTGGCGACATTTCTGCGCACCAAGCTCTTCACTGCTGCTGTCGTCAAGGCGTTTAAGTAAGTCGGGTATGGATGAAATTGGAGCAGTAATAGTAGTAACAGCAGCAGTAACAGCGGGTGCGGTAGCGGCAAGGGGTTCCAGGTGCACTGCGGCGAAAGAACTAAGAAACATGCTGACTGCAGACTATTGCAGACTATTTGCCGCTGCCCGCCGTTGCTATCAGAGTTCGATCTTTGGGGGTTTGGTACAATGCGGTGGTCCGGTTTTGCTTACTAGCAATCTGACGGATGATGGAGTGTGGACTCTGTGTTATAGCTACTCGGTCGCTCAAACTGCAGATGACGGCAGGCTGCTACCCAACGCATCCCTCCCTCCCTCCCTCCCTCCCCAGGAATGCCGATTACGAAGCCGTCAAGCCTCAGGATGTTTACCACTTCGCCCACCCTCGTGACGTGGAGGTGGCGGCCCGCTGCGCCCGCGTGTGGACCGACCTGTACACGCTGGAAAAGACGGCGATGCACCGGGCCGAGGAAATCATCAAGGTTAGGGATGGGGAGAGTGCTGGTAGTGGAGTGGTGGGAATTGCACGGCGGGGGCGGGTGGGAATTACACATTCGCAGAAGTTATCAATAGTTTTGTGATTGCATGCTACATATTAGCGGGAGGTTTGCCATGTCTTGCTAGCAAATGATGTCCGGCCAGCAACGTGGCCTCAAGAGTCGCGAAATGGCAGGGGCCTGATGATGTTACATGTATGAATCGTGTTAGGCTAGGCTGGCCTGCCATGACACCATACCCCGGGTGCTGCAAAGCACCCCATTCCGCACCGGAGGCACCAGATCCCAGATCCACCCCTGATTCCATTACTTCCTTTTCCTTCCTTCCTTTCCCTCGTTCCGTACTTCACCCCGCCACTCCCACTGCCTCTCGCTCGTGTGCCAACACCCACCCCTTTCTTCCCTAACCCAGGCCGGCGTTGCGCTGTTCCCCGACAGCGCCTTCGTGGCCGCGGTGTACGCCAACTTCATGTTGGACATGTTGGGGTTCAGCCAGACGGGAGCCAGACAGCTCGAGGTAGCTGGTGGTTTAACACATTGCTAGGCTATCTGGCTAGGACTGGGATGGTGTATGCAAGGGCGGGTTGCTGGCAGCTAGTTCGCTGGTAATTTTGATATGGTAAAAGAGCTTAATGTTAAACCATCAAGAAATAATCCGGGGGTAAGCCACGAAAATGGGCAGATGTGGCACGTACGGGCGGGTTGATGCTAGCTGGCAAGGGAGGGCCCCAGGCGGCACCTGATGGGTTGATGGGTAGACAGTGGGGGCACATGGGGCCCCGTGGGCGCGCGTGGGGTTACATGGGGTTACATGGGGTTACATGGGGTTACATGGGGTTACATGGGGTTACATGGGGTTACATGGGGTTACATGGGGGCACATGGGGTTACATGGGGGCACATGGGGGCACATGGGGGCACATGGGGTTACATGGGGGCACATGGGGGCACATGGGGCCACATGGGGGCACATGGGGGCACATGGGGGCACATGGGGCACATGGGGGCACATGGGGGCACATGGGGCCACATGGGGGCACATGGGGGAACATGGGGGAACATGGGGGCACATGGGGGCACATGGGGGCACATGGGGGCACATGGGGGCACATGGGGGCACATGGGGCACATGGGGGCACATGGGGGCACATGGGGCCACAACGTTTCGGCCTTCAGACACCGGAGCCATAGCAAAACCCCAAGTAACGGCTTTCCTGGAATAAGTCATGCACACAGTCTGCAGGCGGCCTCCAGCATGTCGTTTTTGTTTATTATGATGTCAAGAAGGCACTTGCACCGGCGGGGTCATCGGTTGTGGCATGCCCCCGCGTCAATTCGCTTGTCGTATCACGCTTTTCTTTTGATAGATGGTGCACGCCCACTCGGCACGGTTGGGTTGCTAAGACGGAAAATTACGCTTCTGTACTAGTCCACCGGCGTGCGGCCGGATCAAGGCGGATCCCTGGCTTCTCAACCCAAAACGTACTGTCTGGGCTGCCCTCTCAGGCGACCTTATGCGCCTGCCTTTCTTAACTTAACAACAAGTCGTTCGAGGCATTCCCCCTCAGCCATCTCGGGTCCCTCCCCCGCCCTCCTGACCTCTGATACGCAGAGCGTACGGAAGCTCAACCCGAGCCTCATGTGTCGCTTCATGCTCTTCGTGCGCCACCAGCAAGCCACACAGAAGGCGGCGAGCAGCAACGTTGGCAAGGGGGGCAACATGGATCTCCTGGGGTGAGGGTGGAGAGGGAGGACAGGGTGGGAGGAGCAGGGGGAGGCAGGGGGAATTAACGTCCTTGTCCTTGTTTTGGGTTTGTTTATGGGAGCCACGAGCCCCACGCCTTGCGGCATCCTGCATGGTCCTGCATGTCAGGCCCGTAAGCACTAAAGCAATCCTTCGTCCATCACCATTGCTACACATGAGGTCAACCAACATAGATAGCTTCTTGCAGCCCAGTAATCCTAGGGTTGCGTGCAGCCCAGTAATCCTAAGCCTCAGTAATCAAAGGCCTCTGTTTGCTAAAGAGGGCCAATGCCATCGCTTTAAGAGGTCATTACGTACAGGCGCAGTTGCTGCAGGAGTTCGTGCAATATGTAGTGCAAGATGCAACCCTTTGATATTGCCGCATGATCACATAGCAGATCTAAGCAAGCAGCCGACATCGAGTGCGCCTATTGCGTACCGCGTAATGTGAACCTATGCGACTGCCGTTTTTCTAGCCGTGGTCGGTAATAAATGGGGCCCCGTCTGTTCCCGGTTGTCCTTTTTCCATTTCCTGCCCCTTACGCCTCGCTACTGCCTCGCTACTACCTCAGCTACGTGGAGTACCAGCGCAAGCAGCGCATGGTGCTTCGTCACCACAAGGACGCACTGCAAGCCATGGCCTACTTCTGGTTGGTTTGGGATCCAGTGGTTGGAAACTATATATAGTTTCTAACGATGCTTTAGCAACTAGTATGCACAAAAGTTGGAAACGAAGGAGTAGTCGAAGAGGCTGCATTTTCTCTGGTTTCCCAAACCTACAAAAGGTTTTGCTATAAACTTTGCTGGAAGCCTTGCGCTTCCCAGAGCAAAAGGTTGTACGTTTAACTTGCCATTTATGAAATGAAATGCGTCAACCAATCAAAAGTGCCTTGGTTTTGCGTGATTGGGCTACAATTGCTGTAGCTGTCAGCCAGCCAGCGGCCAACCAAGCCACTTGTGGCTGCTCTGTCGCCGATGGTTATCTTTGTGATAATATTGTTTTGTTAAAACATCGCTTCCTGCAGGCGCATCCTTGGAGCAAGTTCCATATCCTTCTCTTCGCTCAGTAAATCCCTAGAAGAGATTGATACATCCATATCCCAGGTACACTTTTCCCCAATCACACCAGGCTTATTTGCTCGTTTCTCGTGGTTTTGTGTATCATGGACGCAACGATACTGCTGTCAGCCCCTATCGCAAAGCAACAGGCGAAGCAGATGCGCCCAGTCCCGTAACTGATGGGCTCCGTAACTCCTGCAGATGAATGGCCCTAACGAAGATAAATTTTAGATTAAAACCAAGTGTAAAATTAAGCGTAATACCACTTTCCACCCATTGAATTACGACCTGAAGGCTGAAACAGCCTACCGTGTGGTCTTGGAGCTGTACAACAACTCGCCCAGACTTGTCCGGCTTTACGCCAGGTTTCTGGAGACCATTAAGCAGGACCCCTGGACCGCCGCACAGTGAGTTTTGCGATTTGCTCTGACCTTAACAAATATCTGTTAGCCTCAGAGAGGAGTGTCATCAGACTCTGTAATACCCTCGTCATACCGATTGTACGACAATGGTGCAGTACGTGCTGCCTCGTCTGACGTGTCCACGTGAAGGTTAAGGGGTAGGTGCAGATGTGCAGGCATCGCACTATGTATAAAATGACTTTTACCAAAAGCAGCTGCGGAGCCATTATAGCCCTGTCATCTTATAGCCCTGCCATCTCTCCTTTGTACAGCCCCCTGCCGCTCGCTGAAGCTCCAGCGGGACAACCGCGAACACCGAACGCGCAGGTATCACGCCGCGGCGGAGCGGCTGGAGGAAAATAAAGACGAGGACGGCCAGGGGCCAGCTCTTCCTGATGGTGGGTCTAACCACAAAGGCCACGCACGGACGGCTTGGTTCGACAAATATGGGATTGGCCTCTCGTCTTGCGTGTTGCGAGCTGCGGTGTTGGTGATTTCCGGATTTACTTTGACCGGATTTACTTTGACCGGATTTACTTTGACCGGATTTACTTTGACCGGATTTACTTTGCATCTGAGGAGCAGATACCTTCCGGCGCGATGCCCAGGGGTGCCTAGAAGGGTAGAGGGTAGAAGGGGGAGAACTGGATTTGGGTTTGCAGGAGTGCAGGCGCCAGCTAGACGTGGATGTAGAACCCCCAAGTGGTTAGCTTACCGACTGGACACAGAACCACGTAAGCCGAATATTCATCATGTCATGTTTTGCTGGTGCAAAGACTAGAAATGGACGCCGCTTACCATCGCTCGCATCGGGGGTGCTTATAATCTGTGCGATAATCCGACCTTTATCAACGCATAATTGGCGCGGCATTTCCTTGGTACCGCCGTACGTACGACAGTGTACTGCATCACGATCTGCAGGCACGCCCATCAGCCGCATGGATGACGTGGAGAAGGGTGTGTTGGTGGTGAATGCGTTTGGAGACATTCAGGTCGCCAATCGGAAACTGCACAACATGTTTGGCTACAAAAAAGGTGCGAAGGTGCCGCCGGTGCCGACCCGCGTGACACGGAGGTGCAGGGCGAGTGTGTGTGTATATGTACATGTGCGTATATATGTATGTAATGGGCATCATGGTGGTCTTAAGCAAATGGCAGCATGTGAGTGTGGAGCATTCCGACGGCCGTGACTCCTGGTGCCGCATTCCTTTCCTGTCAGATTGCACAATTTGATTTACCAGGCCTTGGATTTGGGCCAGTATGACATATCCACAAATACCACATAGCTTGTTTTGGCTACTTGTACAATCGACCCGACTTGAATTGAGCGATCTTTTCCCCTCTTCTCCTCCCGCGCGCAGGCGAGCTGGATGGCAAAAACGTCACAGTGCTGATGCCACCACACGAGGCCAAGCGCCATCCAGGTCTCATGCGGCGCTACATCGATTCGGGCGACAAGGCGGCACCGTACTTTAAGCATCCGGTGTTGGCAGTGCATCGGGAGAGGGTGGCTTTCACCGTACGCATCGCCGTCAGTCGCGCCTCTGGTGAGTGCATGCCAGTGAGAAGTGCCGTGATGGGCTTTATTATAAGGCCACCCGCTGTGGCAGCCTTGGATGATTGTATGGGGACCCTGCTGGTGCTGTATCCTGTTTAGGCACTCCTTGCAGGTTGTGTGAGTCATAGCCCCTCGGCCCTCGGGACTGGGTTGCTATGTGGTGCTTAGTTTAATTGATGTCCTTCGTCTTCTGCACTCCTCTTCGCGATTGCTTGTACTATTTTCGTATACGGCACTCACCTCCGCTGTCCTCCTCGTTTTGTTCGTATACCCGTTGCATGCCGCGCCATTCACGTGGCGGGTGTGTGTGTGCGTCTGTTGTGTCAGTTGTATGTCTGTTGTGTCGATTCTTGTGCCAACCTGCCTGTCAAACTCATGGACATGAACACGATCCATGCATGGTGAAGGAGTCATGGAGCTCTGCTTACTCGCTAAAATTGGGCCATCCGTATCGCCTCCAATTGCTCCCGCTGCTCTTGAATGGTCCTGTTGCCTCCTAACTTGTTGAATACCGTGTGTTCAGGTCTTGGGGAGGATAGTGTGTTTATTGGACTGATAGAGGCCCTCCCAGCCGAGCCCGGCATGGGTCGCGTGTGGGTGACCCCTGAGGGCGTCATCGTGTGTTGCGACCCGGGCTTCGTCACGTGCTTCGGGTGCGGCATGGAGGGCGGGCGGGCAAGGGAGGGGGGCTCCTTGGGTTGGTGCATGGGTGGCTGGCGGGTGCGGGTGGGGGATTGCGTGGCAGTCCCGACATCCAGCAGGAGCAAGAATCAAGGACCCGGGGTCGTGATGGGGGGGTGGTGGCGGTGGAGGAGGAGGAGGCGGAGAGAAGTTTAGGCAACGGAAATTGCAGGTTCATCAGGTACGATCCAAACATACGACTCAAACACGAATGTCACAATTATTTTGCGCACATGAGTTAAGAGGATATCAGGTTGCACATATCAGTTTAACGTAATGACAGTTACGATCAAGGGCCCGTACCTGCCAGCCCACCCGTCCTAAAACGCCCACATTGATGTTCTTTTCAATTTCTCCTTTGCAGTCCATTTTTGGGGTTCGGGCCCTTACTTTACGCGTCGCAGGTATCATCCAGATGATGTCATCGGTGTACAACTGGATAAGCTTCTTCGTACGGGCGCCAGTGAAATGGACAGGGCGCTGCTAGCTGACGTATGGATGGCTAGCAAAGCCAAACACGACAACCAGGAATACGTGCAAAAGTACGGCACTCAGCTGCGTTTTTCAGTTGCCCGTTCACCGGTACTTTATTTCTGATCTTCTGTGTTCACATCAGGATACGTGGCTCGCTCTGTCAAGAGTTGTCGCGCATGCTCATCTGGTGTGCCAGGAAGGCCAGCAGGCACTGCCAGCAGGCACTGCCAGCAGGCACTGCCAGCAGGCACTGCCAGCAGGCACTGCCAGCAGGCACTGCCAGGCACTGTCTGGCAGCAAGTACCCCCCAGGTCTCCGTGTGTCCATTACTTTTTATGTGCCACGTTCTCACCCACTTCAGACGTTGTTGGATATGTTTCCAGGTGTCAAACCCTAGACCTTGAGTTGTAGATTGCAGTACTGTCTCCAGACCAGACCAGACCACACACCAGACCCGACACAAAATGTGGTAGCCCAGGAAGGCATTGTGCTGCTCTAAACGATTGCGTATGCTTGTTTGTGTTTCGCAAACCGAAGCCTGGCTGAGCCTGAGCCATTGTGTGCCCGTCATTTATTGAATTGAATTGAATTAAATTGAATTGAATTGGATTGGATTGGATTGAATTGAATTGAATTGTTACAGAGTGGGAGTACCCGTCATTTATCGTGTTGTACGACTGTAGGCTGTTGGCGACTGCTGATGACTATGGCAGCAACACCACGACGAGCACAGACGAGCACAACCGCTGCAGTGTACTGCATAAGTACGACTTCGCCAAGGAGGTTCGGATTGCCGTACGGTCGGGTGAGGATACAAAACGGAGAGAGGACCCAGTGGGCCCGGCTGTATTGGTATCATGCGCTGTTGGCATAACCATGCATCGCTCTTCAGGGGGGACTCAGCTTCCAGCTAATTATGCAATTCCGGCATGTCGAGCTTTGCGAAGTACGTATTTTTTCCAGGGAACCGAGGAAACCGAGGAAAAATACATACATATGGACGACCCATCTTGCGCGCGAACTTGCGAACCCAGCGGCCCCTCAAAGCAAACACCCGTACTTGCCTCCTGCTACCTCTCATTTCAGTGCGTTAATAGGAGGAAATCACCCATTACCGCCCTCGCTGCTCCTCAATGTCGTCCTTTCAACAACCTTTCCATTCGCCCCGGCCACGTTACCCCCTAACCCTCCGCACGCCACCTCATTTTCCACTCATGTATCCGAACTTCCTTTCAACGTCCCTCTCAACCTGCGCCGACCCCAGACATGACCAAATCGAATATCTACGAGGTCCGCTTAAAACTGATATCCGACGAGCCCCAGCTGCTGATGGTGGTGGAGCGCAAGGGCGCCATCCGCCACATGAGCGGAGACCTGGCCAAGGTGCTGGGGGTGGGCATTGGGGACGGGCCGCAGAGCGGCCAGCAGGGCGGCGGTGGTGACGGTGGCGGCGCCAACCCCAACACCGACTACAACATCGCAGAGGACCATGTAAGCACTGCAGGACAATGCCTCTTTGTCTCTTTCACGCCAATCGTTCGTTCGTGTTGTTATGCACCTTTTTAGGGAGATCTTAGTCTCCGTGATCTGGCTCCCTTGTGCTCATTTCAAATCCTTCCTGGCTAAACCTCCTCCGCTCCTAGCGGTTCCACTTGGCTTAAGAAATTCCCGAGACTTGTTTATCCCCTTTTTACCCAACTACTGTCTGACAACCGCCTAACGACGCGCCAAGTAACTCCCAACCACTCTAACGACTCCTCCAACCTCAGGTGATGGTGGAGCTGATGTCCGAGGGAATGCAGCGCAGTCTAGACGATTTCCTGCCAACGCCTTGGAAGGTTATGCACTATAAGTACAGAAAGGTGGGCCCCTGATTACCCTGTCCACTTTGTCTGTCCCTATGGCTGAAACAGCTTCAAAGGGGACCGGTCTGTGGCATCGCGTGTGAAGTTACGACTATAAAATAGCGCCACCGTATTTTTAATGTTTTACTTCAAGCAATTTCGTGGAAGGGTGTAGGTTCTTGTTCCAGGGCGTACGTCAGTTGAACTACACCTATACTGCTCAGGTAGGAGTGCATAAGCCCATGCAAGGCATGCTATTTCTTAGATCCTATTGGATCCTGGTCTATTGGATCCTGCTCTATTGGATCCTGCTCTATTGGATCCTGCTCTATTGGATCCTGGTCTATTGGATCCTGCTCTATTGGATCCTGCTCTATTGGATCCTGCTCTATTGGATTCTGGCGTAGCCCAACCCGGCCCGGGCGTCCCTTGTTTTCTGTGATGGGTGACCTCCTGGGTTGCCTATTTCTCGTACATTTCAGTACGTCAAGGACGGCGCGCCAAACCTTTCCGGATTGTGGGGCTGCCGCGCCGTACCTGAGGAGGGCAGCAACGCAGTCGGGCCCACGATGCAGCTGGTGGGTGCGCACGGCAAGCCGGTCTACGTGCACGTAGCGGTGTCGTCGCGGGACAACCAGGGCGAGATCTCGCATGTTGTACGGATGACCAGGTACGAAGTTACACTCTATACGGGACGTGTTGCTGTTGGATGTGAAGGGCGTCTCCACAGCGTGAATAAAACTGCTTAATGAACAGTAAAGTTCCTCCCATGCTTGAGTGCACGTGCGCCTGTTTTGTTGCTTGCGCGGGAACCGTGCGCGGGAACCCAAGATGGTTAGGAGAACACGCTGTATGTGTGTATGAGGTATATCTGCGAAAACAAAATACTGATGGTGACCAGTAGCGACTCCCAGCCCGTACATCGCTGGCCCCGTTAATACACGCTCGGGTCTATGATACTGGCGTAAATTTTACTTTTTGTTAATATGCTGGGGCAAGGCAAAGCCGGGCCGAAGCATGTCATACGCCGAGGCAAGGCGTTACATGACCCTAGCTTCGGCAAACCACGTGCGTACGATAGACGACTAAGCGTTCTAATGCAAACCCAGGGGATGCTGTACAGCAGTTGACATGACTAGCGCCGGCGACGCGGGGCACGCTTTCCATCATGCCGTACAGGTCGTCCAAGGAGCAGGCCATCGCTGAGCGACGTCTACGACTCCGCATTACGGAGGATGGTGTCGTACAGGAGGTCCTGGCACCGGGAGGCTTCCAGGCTGCGGGTGCCACAGCCGCCGCGGCCCAAGGCGCCTCTGCGGATCTGTTTGGATTTCCGCCCGAGCAGGTAACAGGATCACCTTTTGGTGTGCATGGGCGTGATATGGGCCCGCTGTGCGCTACTTTCGGAGGACAGCCGGGGAACCAAAGGGGAAGAACTAAAGGGGAGCCGTAATCCACGTTACGGGTATAGACTCCTTGCGAATTTCTTCACGCGACCTGCTGGGCTTTCCAGCTGGAAGTCATTGCCCTTGCGAAGATACTCTCCTGCGTCCGCCGGGCTTCGAATCTCGACATTAGCGGGAGAGGCGGAGATAGCTAGTGGACTACGTTGGTAATATAAGCCCCGGGTCTGGTCTAAGTTTTTCATTCGGTCCGAGCAGGCCTGTACGTCCGCCAAGCACAAGCATTAGAGAGCTGATTGCTGGGCTTGGCTGACCTTCTGGCCGTGATATTTATGTGTCTGCTTGCTCCCTCATGCGTCCTTTATGCCGTACAGCTGCTGGGCTGCCAGCTGTGGGACTGCGTATTCCTTACATCGCAGCAGGCCATCGGCGGCGGGATTCGGCCATCGCAGGCGCAGGTGCCGCCGCCGCCGCGGTCGTCGCAGCAGCAGACCTTGGACTTGATCATGGAAGCTGAGGCAGCCGTCCAAGGAAGAGGAGCAGCTTGCAGTTTCGGTAGCGGCGGAGTTGTCAGCAACGACGGCGGCGGCAACGCCGCCCCCCGCCAGTGGGCCGGTGTCGCCGCCGGGTGGACCGAAAGCCAAAGCTTAAACCTGGGGATGCTGGACACGATGATTACCAAGTGGGTTGGGATGTACACGATGTCTTCGCTGCTGGCGCTACCCTCTCTGTCGCCTGCATCGCAGGCCACAGACTACAACTCCTGGTTTTCCTTCGCGCCTCTTTCGTATGTGTCCTGGTTCCTTGGCTGTCTGCTGCTGTCGACCTTTTCTCTCCTTGCTTTCTCTCTCTCTCTTTCTTTCTTTCTCTTTCTTTTTCTCTCTATCTCTATCTCTATCTCTCTCCACCCGTCGCTCTCTGCCCGTCTTCACTTCTGCATGCATGCATGCCCCTCGTACTGAACTCCACGTGCCCCACTCTAATGCTTCGTCCTCCTCCTCCTCCTCCTCCTCCTCCCCTTCCTCCGCCTCCCCCTCCTCTCCCTCCCACAGTACTTTACAATCACCAGGCGTATCCTGGCGAGTGAATGTGGTGCCTCCGAGCGCGTCTGTGGAGGCGGCCACCATGGGCAGTCAGGAGCGGGCAGCGGCGGTGCTGGCCCGCAGGACCAAGCAAGCTGTCTTGCGGGTAAGGGGCGCGCCATAGCTGGCACCTTTGGACCAGCTATGTTGCCTACCTAGCCTTAATCTTGTTGGTGGGTGAGGAAGCTTGTTGGTGGGTGAGGAAGCTTGTTGGTGGGTGAGGAAGCGTTATTAACTGGCTATTGGCTCTTGGGCCTCTAGGCTCGTATGGGCACTCGTTACACCTCTCTGGGTAACGCAACCGAGGTGTAACACACACGCACACATAACTGGCTAGACGGCTAGAGTGGAGTAACTAACTAGGCTGCTGACAGGTGCAGTGGCAAAGGTGCCTGACGGATTCATTCATTCATTGATGGGCTGCGGTTATGGCGGCGTCGCCTGGAGATGCATGCGTGCCTGGGTGAAACCTTCGGCGTCGCCGTCCATCTCGCTGGAGATAACCCCTTCCCACGACTCATGGTGCTCCCATGCTTTGTTTTCCTCAACCGTTGCCTTCCTTCCTGCTTTGCTGATCACCGGTGCAGCTGGACGTCGCTCTGCCGCCACCCGGCCAATTAACGACCCACGGATCAGGCCGTCTGCTGGTGCATGCCGAGTTGTGGGCCACGGAAGCCGTTACAGGTGCGTGGAACGTGGTTCTGGGACGGGCAGCAGGGCCAATTTTCAATGTGTCGGTGTCAGGCACGAATTGCACAATGCCTACCACTTGGTGGGGATGAGACTTCTTAATTAATTTCGACCGGTCCGATTCGCAGGTGTACTTGAGATTGACGGCTCCGGTAAAATTACTGGCGTCCTTGAGGAGGAGGTGCGGCCGCCTGGGCTGCTGTTCGGGTTGCCTAAAGAGGACATCCTCGGCTCCCAACTGGGCGCTCTGCTGCGCTTCCAGCCGGGGCAGAGTCCCGTGGGCCTGCTCACAGACAGCGGCGTCGCCAAGAAGAGCGCCCTGAAGGCCACTAGCCGTAAGGGCAAGATTGTTGACAAGGCAAGTACCGTATCTGGTATCGCCCACAGGCACACGTAACGTATATGGCATAGGAACCTCTCTACGGAATGAACTGGATACGTCTGCCGTACTTGTCGTACTCGCAGTGCTTGTACAAAGTTATCCTAAATTGTTAAGTTGCTGCATCGGCTCAGCTGCAGCGCCTCACTCAGCCCTATCTTTTGCCGGTAGTAGTCCCATTGCAATCTCTCGCATATCTTCCTCCGTCCCTACCATCTCCACCCGCTCCACCCCCCTCCCCATCTCCCCAACCCCTCATCCCTCATCCCCTCCAGGTGGGCCCTGTGCACTACCTGGAAGGCTTCCACCGCGATCACCGGCCGCTGCATCTGGCGGTGCAGGTAGTGGGAAAGCCAGGGCCGGGAAACCCAGTCATTGCCGTAATCAGGTTCGCGTCCGGCAAGGCAGGTGGCAAGCGCGGCTTCCTGCGTCCCGGCCCAGGGCCTGCAGCAGCAGCCGCACCCGGAGCCCAGGTGCAACGGAGCCATGTACAGCTATCCTTTTCAGGCAATGAGGCGACCCTTGCGCTGCCGCCGTCAGGGCCCTCCATGCAGCTGTTACCACCGGCGGCTGTCGGCACCATTGGTAGTGGCGGTCTGCCGCTGAAGATGCGTGAAGCTACCTGCTCCCGAAGCGGCGCTTTAGGAGCACAACAGATCACAGCTACCCGCGCAGTACTGCCGGGAAGTACCGGTGGGTTGGCTCTAGGTGGCGGCTGCAGCGGCAGCGGCGATTATGATGGCGGTTCCAACAGGGCGATGATGATGCGTGCCGTACAGTCGATTGACGGCAGCCGAGCCGGGCTGGGTGGATTGCTTGGCAACGGCGGCGCTGTTGGCAGCGGTGAATTCACCCGGCCGCCGCTGGCGGCCGCTATGTCGGCGGTCAGCCTGATGCCCCAGCAGGAGCAGCAGCAGCAGCAGCAGCAGCAGCAGCAGCAGCAGCAGCAGCAGCAGGTATGCGCACGCGCTCCTGGTAGTGACGCAGCAGCTACGACTGAGGGCACTGCGGCAGCGCGAAAGGTTGACTTGTGCCAGGTGCCGCCTCTGCTGCCCGGCACAGCAGCGCTAGCTGCAGCCGCCACATGCGCTATCAGCTCGCAACCTCCACAACTCCCGGGCAGCACTACTGCTGGGCCAGCACCGGTGGCTGCGGTGGCAACGGCGACGGTGGCAGGCCCTGGGGCCTCCACCACAGGCACCTCCTCGCCGTTGAAGCCCACATCGCCACCCGTCCTAAGCCCCAGCAAACGCGCCCTCCTCAGCGCTAGCCCCCGAGGTGCCCCAAATCTGGGTGGCGGAGATATGGTAGATGGTGAGCTGTCGGCTGTCGTACAACAGCTGGACGGCACCAAGGTGATGGCAAACCTGCAGCCTAAGGCGTCGGCGGAGCAGTTGCTGTCTAGGGCGGGTGAGCACCGTCCTAGGGTGTAAACGTTTAGCGTGTTACTGGACTTGTTTTACTGGACATACAGTTTGCCACGGCAAGCGTCATTTGCATAGCGCTGTCTCTTGGAAGCCCAAGGAGGATTCGAGGGCCTGGTCCGTACGCTGCCTCTGTGCTTTGCTGCACACACTGCAACGTCCTTAGGCTGCTGCTACTCCTGCTGCTGATGCTGATGCTGGTGCGTGCTGCTATTACTGCGGGTGCTGCCGATGATGATGCTGGTGCTGCCACTCGCTTTGAACGACAGCCGCGTGATGCACAAGGCTGAGCTCAAGAGTCACCAAACTCTGCCGATTAATGCGCCGGCCAACATAGTCGCTCCTCCTTGCCGTCCCGCTTCAAATGGCCCCCTCCACGTCCGTACAGGTGGGGATGCAGAGGAACGCCGGCAGGCGACTGGCGAACCCGGAGGCCTGACGCTTGCGGGCGCCATGAGAGCCCTCCAGCAAGGGGAAGCCGGTAACGAACGCAGTGTAAGAAGGTTGGGTAGGCAAGGCGCCGTGCCGGAGGGCAGGGAACGGGGCCAGGTGGCCCAGGATGGCCGTCTTTTATTCCATCTCTCTTCTTTTCTCTTTGCTATTTTACCGTCCTTCCATTTTACCGTCCTTCCATTTTTGTGCTTCGTCCATGATGCACATTCACGTGCAGTGATGTTGGCTGTTACAGTCGCTACTTAATTAGCGCTGGCATCTCGCCTACGCACGCCAGGCATGTGCGCGGCCAGTTCCGTCTCATTCTTGCCGCATCTCGCATCTGTCATCTCCCAGCAACTAATTGCCTGCTGCAACTACTGCCAATCATTTACCAACTCGCTGCATCTCAGGGGGTGGATAAGTGGGTAACATCGGGCGGCCAGTTTTTTAAGAACCGGGCCCAGAGCCTGTGTGAGGCCGATTTGGACGCGGAGGAGGAGGAGGAGGACGAAGATGAGTACGGCTCCTTTGGTGCTACAAGTCGTGCCACGTCATCCCACTGGATGTCACCCACGGGCTCCCGCAATTTCATGGATCCCGCACTGGAGGAGCAGCAGTGCGGCGGCGGCGGCGGCGGAGGAGAAGTGGGAGCGTTTGGACAACAACACCATCATCAGCACCATCAGCACCATCAACACCATCGGCAAGGCGGCGCGAATCCTCAAGGAGGCGGCGGAGGCGGAGGAGGAGGCTGGGGCAGCTGGGGCAGTGGCGCGCTGCCGCCACATGCGAGGCTACCCGGAGGCGGTCCTGGCGACGGCGGATTTGCGTCTCCTGAGGGGTTGACCGGAGAGCAGGATGGTGTTGCGGCCGGCGCACTGGGCAGCTGGGGTCAAGTGGCGGAGTCGGGTGTGGATGTGGCCAAGCCGCGGGCGACGGAAGACATTCCAGATGACCGCAGCGATGGCGGCGAGAGCGCTCTCTCGGGCATGTCCGGCATGTCTGGCCTTTCCGGTGTGTGATGTGTACGTTGTGCACCATCAGCTGTGTGCATTGCGTACATGGCATTTATTGGTTTTGCGCCGTGCGATCATGCCTTGCGATCACAAGTCCTGTGTCATCATGCACTCATGCCACAATTCCTTTTGTCTGTCCCACACTATCTCGCTCCCGCCGGCAGATGGCGAGACACCAGCAGACTTCAAGCGGGGAAAGCGCTACCGGAAGCTGGTAAAACTGATGGACTCTCCAGAGGCACAGAAGGTAAGAGAAGAATTTAACATAGCTCAAAGGCGAAGAGGCCCAAAAGAGCCAATGACTTATTTTTACTGCGTTGCAAGGCAAACACCGAAGCTGAAACCTGAAGAATTTATTTATCGTGGCTGCGTTCTTCGCTCTTGTAACCTTGGAACGGTCTACTACGTGAACACCAGCAACCAGCAAAATGGACGTTTCTGCACTAAATTCGCAGACTGTGGTACGCATGAAGATTCACACGGCCCTCACCTTGCTTACGGCGGGCGTGATACATATCGTCTGCTTCGCGCTCGTCATTTCGGCCGTCAAGGTGGGCAAAAACAGTAATAGGTTTCAGTTACCATGAAAATGATGGCATCACAAAGCATGTTGCATAGCCTTGTGCAAGTTAGAGCTCCCAAGCTCTTGTGCGCGAGGCCCGACTTTGCCGCGCTCCTACTACGTACTGCTGTATGTTCGCCATGATTGGCCTCGCTGTGCTCAGCCTCCGTTCTCTGCCGCACACCTGGGCGCATCTGAGTTTCTAACCGCGCGGTACTTTACGTCCCTATTATTTCTTTCGTCCATTAAACAGAAACAAAGAGAGGCATTAAGAAACATGGCCGATGCGGGCCATGCGCAAGTCCACCTTCAAAGGGTAAGCACGCATGCCATGAAATGTTGCCCAGCATCAACGAATGCGACGGGAGCTATCAAATTGGATAATTATAGTGGTGGGCTCTTTATTTTGTCGGCACACAAGCTGGATCCTGCTGGCTGCTTCGGTTGCCGTGCTCAATCAGGCTCTATCTGTCGCTGTAGCAGCACCCGTTAAATCGCGGCATGGGACATCCGGCTGCGTCGTTCTACCCGATCCAGCATGAGATGCAACAAAATGGATATGCAGTCGTTACCGTTTTTGTAGTAGCATGAATTGCATGTCTGCAATTATGCGAAATGCGAAATTGAATGAGTGAGTGTGTGTGGTGGTTACAGTGGGCTCCAGACTCACGAAGAGTAGAGCCGTGCACCGCACCTGAGACGATCAGGGCAAACAAGGCACCCAACCAGGCAACGCAAGTCACCTAGACAGCCAGAAGCAATCCCAAAGGGAAGGCTCAGAACCCGCAACCACTGGGGAATTCGCCAATAGGTTGATTATGGACACGCGCAGGTCCTGGTAGAGACGCGAGCCTTGGACCAAGCACATAAAGGCAAGGGTTCCGACACCACCTACAACTCCGCTGATAAACAGGTAAAAGCATGTATACGTACACACGGCAATGGTTGACGAGTGCGTTGCTAACCTACCTTCGTCAAACGCACATCGCCTTTCGTCAGGGAGGGGGGTAGATATATCTAACTCGACCGTGAATCAGACGTTAGTAGAGCGTCGGTTCCGAGACTTGCTCGGAACATTTACGTACCCAAAGGCTAGCGTGGCTTGCTGGCCCTTAGCAAGACCACTCTTTACATTCCGTCCCGTCTCTCACACATACGCGCACGCAGACGCTTGCGAACAGTATCATGGAGGACTGCCAGGAGTTTCGGGTGAGTTTACCTAAGGGCCCAGATAGACATCCATCTCCCCTAGCAGCTCGTAGAGGGTTTCCAGAAGCACCAACCGCATTTCTGTGCCCAGCGAACGGGCTGTGCTTCTGCCCGCCACCGTCGCTCACATTAACTCAATCCAAACCCTTGCAAACTAAGAGGAATTGGAGATGGTGGTCCTTTAGTCGCATGAACTCAGGCTGACGCGGAGGCTTTGGAATAACCCGGCTGCTGATAAAGTGCTACAGCCCCCAGCCCGCAGCCTGCAGCCCTCTGCAGCCTGTAGCTGCGCAGCGAGGCTCGATATCTCAAATTGTGAAATAGCCGATGCCGCCGCCGCCACGACATACATACTTGTTGGGATTGTTGGGATTGTTCACCCAACAATCCCCACCTTGTCAAGCTGGCGCATACAGACCACCATGCCATCATCACACGCTGTTCAGGCCCTCGCTCGTTAACTGTTGCTCTCGTCGCGTGTTTTCTGCAGCCTGATGTATGGTTGTCGTGCCACCGCACCGCTAGTCGTAGCCGCGAACGTTTGCTTGCTTGGATACGTGACACTGTTGTTAGTTCATCTTCCGGACCTCCTTGATATTGCCCGGTGGTCCATCTTTGCTCCATCATCATCTGCTCCATCATCATCTGCTCCATCATCATCTGCTCCACTATCATCTGTTCCATCATCATCTGCTTCATAATTGTGTTTTCCAACCCTCGCCGTCTCTATCGACCTGGATGCAGAGCATCAACAACATTATCCTCGGCAAGCTCGGTCGAAATACTGAGGATCTGTATTATAGCCGGGAAGTCACGGTGCGTTGGGATACGGCGGCGTGGATGTCGCACACGCAGAGAAATGCTTTCGCACACACATGCATACGCTGGGGGAGAGCGGCTGCTGCTAATAATCGGTAAAACGTATGTTCACTGTCCGGGGAGGGATTCCTCCCACTATGTGTGTCGCCAAATCGTTGCTGCAATATCGAGACGCGCATAATGCATGGTTCTTTTGAGCGCCTCAGGCACGTCCCACCTTCGGCAATGCCTGACTTAATTGCTTTATCCAATAGTGCTTTATCCAATAGTGCTTTATCCAATAGTGCTTTATCCAATAGTGCTTTATCCAATAGTGCTTTATCCAATAGTGCTTAGTGCTGTGTTCTCTTCTGACATCTGCATGTGCCCCGAATGCCTGTGCATTACATGCATCTATGCATGTAATACATTACATGTAATGCATTTATGCATGTAATGTGTTGGTTGGTCATACGACGGGCTTGTTTGGTTATGCATATGGACCTGGGTTCAATAAACTTGCTCTGAACCTTGAGTGATTCGTAAGTATTGGGTTGTGATGCCAGCTAAGTTGCTAAAGCCAAGGCCATATCACTTGCTGCTCCCCTGATACACCTGGTGCTCTGATTACTGTTTACTAAAAAACTGTAAATGCACCCACTCATC